GATTAACCTCTCGGTCGAAATTGGACTTACCTAGTCGGACTATTTGTCCCAGGTAAACGACGAAACCAGTACGTTAACAACTTCAAGCTTAGTGCTCCCAACCACTACGGGCATAGATGTGACATGGACATTAAACATGATCTTTGTTTTGTCCATGTTCATCTTAAGACCTATCCGTTGGGAGGCACTATTGAGGTCATTGAGCACAGTGCATAGGTCCTTCAGCGATTCTGCCATAAGGAATATATCGTTGGGAAATCGAAGGTGAGTGATGTACTCGCCATTGATGTTAATACCGTATCCTTTCCAGTCCAGTAGCTTGAAAACGTCTTGCAATGCAGCGGTGAAATGTTTCGGTGAAATAACGTCACCCTGTCTTACACCTCTCTGCAATTGGATAGGTTTCGTACTCTGGTTCTGTACTCGGATAGCCATCGTAGCCCTACTCTACAAACACTTCAGCACTTCGATATACCGACAGTCAACTGGGCACCGCTGAAGAGACTGTAGCACCGCCCAAATTTCGACGGAAATAAAGGCTTTCTCATAGTCCATATACGCCAGGCAAAGAGGCAGATTGTACTCTTCGGACTTCTGTACAATTTGCTGTAGGGTATGTATGTTGTATATGGTACTAAAGCCTTTTCGAAAACCGGCTTGTTCGGGAGACTGGAAGTCGTCGAGTCTGCGTGCGAGACGATTCGTAATGACTCGAAAACAGCACGTAGACGCGGCTCAGAAGGGATATCGGTCTGTAGTTCTTTAAGAGGGCGTTGACACCTTTCTTAAAGAACAAGACCACCTTCTTCTTCTCCACTCCTCGGGAGTAGTGCTTTCATGGAGGACGGAATTAAAGAGCTTCTGAAGGACTTCAATTACCGGTTTTCCACCCACTTTCAGAAGCTCCGCTGTAATTCCATCCTCGCCTGGTGCCCTGCCGTTTTTAAGGTGCTCGAGAGCCATTCGAATCTCGCTCAGACTGACGTACGGGATATCATCAGAATAGTGTCGGATAAAACTTGCTCTTGGATCATTACTCACACTTGCATGTGGCTCCAACGATGATGTGTACAGCTGCCCATAGAATCTCTCAATCTCACTCAAAATCTCAGGTGTCGTAAAAACGACGCTGCCACACTCACTCTTCAGCTTTGACAGTTGGCTCTTACTGGCAGACAGATCTCTGACAAAGACTTTGGAGCCCTGGTTCCGCTCAATCGCTCTTCAATACGAGCTGTATTGAAGTTGCGTAAGTCCTGCCGCATGCATTTGGAGATCTGTTTGTTCAATTCCCTGTATGCTGTCAAATCTACTGACGTCTGCAGCTTCATCGCCCGTCCATCTATATCTATGAGTCAGATAGATTTTTGAGATTGAATTTTTACTTTGTCTTTATCAACAATTTTAATGTGATGTGGGCTCTAAAGGCAGATTTTCCACGATTTAAAGTTGCAATTTTTTGTCATTAAAAACTACGAATCCACATTTTTTTAAATTAATTATGAAAGGTAAAGATTTTTCTTAGTGAATTATTGTGGCCAAAACACGATTACAACATTTTGGCTCGATAGAAAAAGATCACAAAGTTTCCTCAAAATTTACAAATTTAGGTATGTACGTCCAAACGTGAAAAAGCAGTTTCCTTCGAATGTAATGATTCGGGAGGCTATAATTTCAATTAAATTCAGGCTATGTGTTCACCAGTAAATACGTGAGTGGATTATGGGTTAATTTTTCAATAAAAGAGTATATATCATTTTAAAAAGAAATTATATCATATAAATATTGTGCGATTATACAGCGTGCGGGCCGACCAAACAGTCCCGCCAGTCGTCCGCAGCGCGGCGTAGAGAGCATCCGTGTACAACTTTATCACGTCCGCTGTCGTCGTATAAACGTAACCATATATTTAAAAAAATATTGATAACCGTGGTATGCCATTGAGAGGTAGTGAAAAATTAGGCATCCGAACCGGTTAGAATGCCTGCCTTAGTCCTAGTATAGTATCCACTCATACAGTGAGCTAGTAGCGAGTAATAAACATGTAAATATAGGTACGAAGCATGTTTATAAAACAAACTGATATACGTAGTTTATTCTGTGCTGATATGTAAAAGTTTGTTATAGGTATGAGTAAAGTGACCATTTATTTTTTCCTCAGAGCGGGACACCTTTATAATTATTAAACACTTTTGACTGTCTTCTTGGTCTAACGGTTGTAAACGCAATTGCTGATCATGTGGTCCCGTGTTCGAAACCCGAGTCGGGCCAAGAACCATTTTTCGGGTTTTTCTGTCACAAAATTCTCAGTAGCAGCCCGGAATATTGATTTCGAACTTATTGAAGTTGGCGGGGTTTCACCACCGTACCTCCGGAAGCACGTAAAGCCGTTGGTCCTGCGCCTAATCTCTCTGCCGTCGTCTTGGATCACCGTTCTATCGGACTATAATAGTGAGGGAGCAGGGTAGACCTGTGCTTTCGCTTACACTTGGGCAATATTACCTGTGCTAGAGCTCAGATAGCTATTCTCTGTTGAGACTGGCTGCTGTTACCAAAATTCAATCTGGAATCCTTTATTATAGTATTAAAAATAAAACACATAGTTGTTTGAATCTTTTAATGATCAAAAGTGAGAATAAGAATTCAGAATCATATAAAATCCGGCTGCTGGCTTTTTTATTTTTTCTGAATAGCAAATAAATACTAATTAGAAATAACTTATGCAATTTGATAATTTCGTCATTACAGCCCTTCACAAGTCCACTGCTGAACATAGGCCACCCCAAGTAATGCCACAAAGCACGGTCCTGAGCCAAATGCATCCATCGACTTCCTGTATATTACCAAGTCGTCACTCCATCTAGTGGAGGGTCGCCCTACACTACGCCTATCGGTACGAAGGCTGCCACTCGAAAACCTTTTTTTCCCATCGGTTATCGGTTCTTCGAGCTATATGGCCGGCCCATTGCCACTTCAGCTTATTAATCCGTTGGGCTATATCGGTCACTCTGGTTCGACTGCGGATGTCCTCATTTCTGAGTTTCTCACACAGAGAAACCCCGAGCGTAGCCATAGCTCGCTGAAGGACCTTGAGCGTCCTCATACGGCCAGTAGTGAAGGACCACGTCTCAGATCCGTAAATCATCACCGGCAACACGCACTGCTTGTAGAATCTAGTTTTCAGAGTTTAAGGTATACCCAACGAGAAGATGTGTCATAAAACAAACGCTGCCCAGCCGAGTTGAAACCGTCGATTGACCTCTCGGTCTAAGTTGGACTTACCTAGTCGGACTATTTGTCCCAGTAAACGTACTCGTCAACAACTTCGAGCATAGTGCTCCCAACAACTACCGGCATAGGTGTGACATGGACATTAAACATTATCTTTGTTTTGTCCATGTTCATCTTGAGACCTATCCGTTGGAAGGCACTATTGAGGTCATTGAGCATAGTGCTTAGGTCCTCCAGCGATTCTACCTTATGGACTAAATCGTCGCCAAATTGAAGGTGAGTGATGTACTTTCCAGTCCTCTAGTTTGAAAACGTCTTTCAATGCAGCGGTAAAGTGTTTCGAGGATATTACGTCACCCTGTCTTACACCTCTCTGCAGTTGGATAGGTTTCGTACTCTGGTTCTGTACTTAGGTTGAATGGTCTAAGAGCTACGATGGCTATCCAAGTAGCCCTACTATACAAACAATTCAGCACTTCGATGTACCGACTGCCTCGTTGGTCTAGTGGTTGTAGTAGTGCGACTGCTGATCATGAGGTCCTGGGTAACAATCCCGGGTTGAGCCAAAAAAAATATTATTGAGTTTTTCCGTCAAGAAAGTCCGTATCAGTAGTTGCCCGGAGTCAGGAAGTTGGCGGTGTCTCACCCCTGTGCCTCGGAAAGCACGTAAAGCCGTTGGTCCTGCGCCTGATCTCTCTCCGGTCGTGTCGGTTTACCGTCCCATCGGATTATAAGAGTGAGGGAATAGAGAGTGCACCTGTGCTTGCGCATACTCTTGGGCACTATAATACTGTCTTGCGCCGATGGCTAGCCTCCGTTGAGGCAGGCCGCCGTGGCCGAAATTCGGTTTGGAGGACTAATTATTATTATTATTATTATTATACCGACAGTCACCTTCGCAGCGCTGCTGAGACTGCAGCACCGCCCAAATTTCAACGGAATCATAGGCTTTCTCATAGTCCATACCAACACTCCTCTTTCCTCGCGACTCTATCTCGACTACAGATGTACAGGGAGAGGAATCTCCTCTAGCCACAACCCACTAACACGCATCCAACGTGGCTCGATATCATCAGGCGACCTTTCTACATTTGGCTATGGCCCTTGAGTTTCGGGACAATGAAGAGAAGAAATAAAAAACATTCGAAATAATAATCTAGTAATTTTAATTAATTTTATCCTGGGTTCAGTTGGAAACCTGTTAATTAATAAACATTTGATAACATCTGTTGTTGGCGACTTTGTTTGTTAACAGATATGGGTAGGAAAGAACATCGATAAGTATTATAGACAAGGAACTCGACAACCCTATTGAATTTTATTGTTTATCAAAACTAGGTAATATACAGCCACATGTTAGTATATATGATATTAAGATTAGTAACAAATTTTTAAGTATTTATATTATCAAACAGTTTTAATTCGTTTAATATTAGCCGCAAATTCACTTATTTGTGGAATGTTATATCACTTTCCTTTTAGAAAAGAGTTTTACAGATTACGCAAACTCTCATTATTATAAAAATAATTTTTATTAAGTAACTAAAATTATATACAAACAAACCACATAAAATACTTTCGTTTTTTTAGTTTAAAAGTTTAAAATACAGAGATAACATTTTTCTAAAACTACATAACATTTTTGTAAAAATCGTCGCGAACGCCATCTTTAACAATGTATATGACAGCACGCGCGAACGTAACAAAAAGCGCGCGTAAAATTCTGCCATCGCACAGACGCTCAAAACATAATATACAATTACTATATACTAGGACTTGTACGTTCGAATAACGTCTATAATTTCCTTCCTGCACAGCGGGCACTGACCGTTACCCTTATCCCTCCACACCTGCACGGCGCAACTGTAGCACATGCACATATGTCCACACGTATATAATACACTGTCTACTGGGTTTTCATAGCAAATTGTGCATTCTCCAGAGTCATCGGAGACTTCCTCCTTCTCCTCGGTTTGTGGTGGGGTCGGCTGCGACGATGCTTGAATCGGCTGTAGCACAGAAAGATAAAATTAATTTGTCAAATTAGTTAATAGTTTACTGGAGTCCAGTGACAAACACACATACAGAAAAACTATAAATTCAATTAAGAATCAAAGTGCAGACGCTTTGTCACCCCTGAGGTCTAAGATGGAATGCCTCGTTTCCAGTACAATGGGTCTCCGGTTCTCTACACTGACCTTACGAAACACAGCTGCATTGAGCTGCTATTTTTGGCTGGTGCTCTGTGAGAGCGTAGTCCTGCTCCGGTCGAGCCGACCCATTCGTGCTACAACCATAATATAGCTGCAGCGTGGATCTACCACGTCAATCTAAACAATTCTCGAATCAACTTAAACACATAAAATTTCATTAAAATAGGTCCTGCCACTTTAGGAAGAGTTTAGTCACATCGTAGAATACTATAATACACAATAGAATGGCTGTCAACCTTATTTTGTACGAGGATAGGCGTCGCCGGGAGCACACATACAAGCAATTACGTCGTATTATCACTACTACAAACCCGATTCGCTGTGTTGACAGACGGATTTTAATACATATTTATTTGTAAATAGCGTGCAATTTGGCATTTTCTAAATAATTTGCATGCGAAATTTGGAAATGATTGTAACGTCAAAACACATCATTTTAACAGTGGTAGAGCCACGCGGCAGCTTTGCTGTTGCACGTATGGGCCGGCTCAAACCGGGGTGGTACCACGACCTCACAGAATACCGGCGTGAAGTGGAAGCTCTGCTTCCGCGTTTCGTCTGGTGAGTGCAGGTGGCCGGAGGCCTAAATCTACCCCCCCCCCCCCATCAACATGGTAGCGGAATTAAATAACGATCGACTACCCCAGAAGGGTACCAGCAACCCTGGAGAATCCCTCGCTGAGCATCCACGACCATGTTTCTCCACTTCTAAGCGTGGGTGCTCAGGCTGCCCCACGTATTCTGGGGGGGGGGGGGGGCAAAATTCCGCTCAAGACTACAACTGCTCGGGGCAAACGGAGCAACAAGACCAAGGCGACCCCTGCCACGCTGTCCGTGAATTTCTGCAATATCAGGGGACTTCACTCTAACCTAAACGCCGTCCACTACCATCTCGAGACGGCGAGGCCGGCTCTGCTCTTTCTGACCGAGACGCAGGTGTCCTCTCCGGCTGATGTCTCGTATCTCTCCTACCCGGGGTACAAACTGGAACACTCCTTTGTGCCTCGGGCTGGAGTTTGCGTTTACGTCAGAGAGGACATCTGCTCTCGACGCCTCGGCATACTTGAAGGTTCGAACCTGTCCATCCTTTGGCTACGCGTAGACAGCGACGACCATCCGCGCGTCTACGGGTGCCTCTATAGGTCCCATAGCGGTAATGCCGAAACAGACCGACTATTCGACCACGTCCAAATGGCTGCAGATTCGTTGCTACACCAAATCCCCTCCGCAGAGATCGTGATCCTCGGCGACTTTAACGCCCATCACGCCGAATGGCTTGGTTCACGTTTAACCGATCATGCGGGGAGATCTGTTCATGATTTTGCCTTGGCATATGGTCTGACACAACTGGTTACTTCGCCTACGCGGATTCCAGATGTGGAGGATCATGCACCTTCCCTGTTGGACCTTCTGCTGACCTCTCACCCGGACGGATATCAGATTTCCGTCGACGCCCCTTTAGGCTCCTCGGACCATTGTCTGGTCCGGAGTGTGGTGCCACTCACGCTGAAATCGCGGTTGCATTCTGCAGGCTGCCGCCGTGTTTGGCACTATAGGTCAGCCGATTGGGATGGGATGCGGTCTTTCTTTGCATCCTACCCTTGGGGGCGGGTTTGCTTCTCGCCGGATGATCCCAACGTTGTTGCGGATTCTGTTGCTGATGTGGTACTTCAGGTATTTTATTCCTTTCTGTGGTGCCCATTGGAGGCAAGTCTCAGCCATGGTTTGGTCGCTCCTGTAAAACAGCATCATGCTATAAGCAGGAATACTACCAAGCCTGGGCTGATGCATCAGCGTCCCGGGATGTAAACACCAGCGCTCTAAAAAAGAAGTATAATTCCGCCTCTAGGTCCTTCAAAAGAGTCATTGCCAAGGCAAAGTCAGAGCACATAGGCAGAATTGGCGAGAAACTAGTTCGCCTTCCTTCTGGAACCCGTGCATTCTGGTCTCTCGCCAAGGCTGTCCAGGGGAATTTCTGTCAGCCATCTCTTCCATCTCTGCACAGGGAGGACGACTCACTGGCCCATACCGCAAAGGAGAAAGCCGATCTTCTAGGCTCTTTCTTTGCGTCTAACTCGACTCTCGATGACGGGGGGAGTACTCCGCCGACCATCCCGCGGTGTGAGTGCTACATGCCGGAAGTGCACGCAGTGAAGTCGAGTGGGCCTGACGGAATCCCCCCAATTGTGCTGAGGACATGTGCTCCAGAGTTGGCACCGGTTTTAACGCGTCTTTTCCGGTACTCCTACTCCCTAGGCGTAGTCCCAAAATCATGGAAGACGGCTTACGTCCACCCGATCGATCGAACTACCGGCCAATCGCCATCACCTCCTTGTTCTCCAAAACAATGGAGTCCATTGTAAACTGCCAGCTCATGAGGTACCTTGAAGATCACCAGCTGATTAGTGACCGCCAATACGGTTTTCGCCGTGGTCGGTCAGCTGGTGATCTTCTGGTCTACCTAACTCACAGATGGGCGGAGGCAGTAGAGTTCAAGGGGGAGGCATTGGCCGTTAGTTTGGACATTGCGAAGGCCTTCGATCGGATTTGGCACAAAGCGCTTCTTTCGAAGCTCCCTTCCTATGGGCTTCCCGAGAAATTGTGCGATTGGATCACCAGCTTTCTTGCAGATCGGAGCATCAAGGTCGTTGTAGACGGTGCAAGCTCCGATTGCAAGCCTATTAATGCTGGTGTTCCACAGGGCTGCGTGCTATCGCCAACGCTGTTTCTTCTGCATATCAATGACATGTTGCATACCCGTAACATTCATTGCTATGCAGATGACAGCACTGGTGATGCTCTTTACACCGGCCGAGCCAATATTTCTCGGGAAAACGTTTCCGAGTGCCGGGACAAACTTGTGTCTGAAGTCGAGTCTCTGCTGGACAGAGTCTCGGATTGGGGGCGACTAAATCTAGTCCAGTTTAACCCCCAGAAGACACAAGTTTGCGCGTTAACCGCTAAAAAGAACCCCTTTGTCGTATCTCCTCAGTTTCAAGGCACTCCCCCTTGTTGCCTCAGCCAGTATCGGAATCCTCGGCGTCGACATATCGAGTGACGTGCAGTTTCGTGGTCACTTGGAAGGGAAGGCCAAATTGGCCTCTAAAAAGCTTGGCGTGCTCAGCAGAGCGGGACAGTATTTCATGTCGGCACACCGCCTGCAACTTTACAAGGCGCAGGTTCGGCCGCACATGGAATACTGTTCCCATCTCTGGGCTGGGGCTCCCCAGTACCAGCTTCTTCCACTTGACCGCATCCAGCGCAGAGCGGCTCGAATCGTCGACGACCGAGTGCTTTCCGATCGGCTCGATTCACTGGCGCTGCGAAGAGATGTTGCATCTCTTTGCGTATTTTATCGCATCTATCACGGGGAGTGCTCTGAGGAATTGTTCGGATTAATCCCAGCCGCCAAATTTCGTGAACGCACTACAAGTCAAACGTCCCGAGACCATCCACACCATCTGGATGCTTGGCGGTCCACCACTGTACGTTTCACAAGGAGTTTTCTTCCACGTACAACCTCTTTGTGGAATAGTTTACCACCGGCGATTTTTCCGGATCGATACGACCTGGGGACCTACAAGAAAAGAGCTTACTCCTTTCTAAAGGGCCGGCAACGCACCCGCAATTCTCCTGGTGTTGCGGTTGATCATGGGCGGCGGTAGTCACTTAATATCAGGTGAACCGCATGCTCGTTTGCCCCTTTTTCTATAAAAAAAAATCTCTTGTTGACATTTATACGTGTGAAATGACGTGTTAGTGGCATTTTAGTGGCTACACGGGCTCCGCCTACTCCCCCGTTCTATTATGTATGTATTATAGTATTCTGTGAGTCACATACAAACGGACAGAAGAATTAATTATATATATATATATAAAGATATATTAAAGAATGGCCACCGTGTTGTGACGGCGTAAGAGAAGCCGGCGACAGAGAAATAAAACAACGAATGAACACCAGCGATTTCCTGATAAGAACTTAATAAAAAATCTGGGTTGCCAACTCGCTTGCCAAGCATGGTAACTATGGCATGAATACATGCCATAGTTACCATGCTACCTTATAATATCATCTGTGGGGAAGACCTTTATTTGGCAGTGAAGTTTTATAGGCTATAATGATGATGATATTAACAATAAGAAATTGGCTCAAAATTACAAAACTACCCGTTGTGTATGTACGCGGCTGCGTCCGCGCTCAATAATAATGCTTGCAATTAAAGGAGTACGTTGACATTCCTCAAGTGTTTCACTAGTCTCCTGCGCTCCGTATCACGAACTTAAACATTGGCGACGAGTTCTTACCCGCATTTTTAATTTAAAAAAAATGTCGTTTAGCTGTGGTCCACTTTTTATTTTACAACAACTAAAATTCATATCAAACAAAGTTCATAAATACAGTGCAACATAAACCTATATAAGATTTTTCTTGACACTGCAGTTCGCCGTCATTCGAGCGCAAACATTTTAATATTATTTAGAGTAAGAAGATAGTTTGTTGGTTTCTATAAAAATAACATGAGGATGAGTTGTAGTGGCTATTTAATTAGAGTAGTATACAGGATTTTTGGAGGAAATATTTCATATTTTTGGAATATACATATGGTAATTATATTACTAATAAGAAATATGTTAGTTTTTAGTTATAGTTAGTTGGTTAAAAAAGTATGTTTTTAATTTGTATTTATAGTCAACCAAATCTAAGAACTACATTTTGACGTTTCATATTAATCATTCCGCAATAACTTTGCACAAGCGTGCTCACACGATTTAAAATAACCTTTTACTTAAATCCGAAAAATTATGAAGTTATCTATATTTCATTACAACGTGTATATTTTTTATCACTAATTGAAATTAGAATCTTCCAAACAAAGCAAAATATTAAAAAAATAACCAGTAACAACTTTTTTTACTTGACGTCGTTTCAATGATATGGTGTTTGGATGATTAAAATTCATTGTTATTGGAATAATCAACAAAAATATTCAAATATTCGGTAAAAATATTAAAATAATCGATCATTATTTTTTTTAATGTATTATTTACTGAATAATTTTTTTATTTTTAAAATTCCTTAAATTACATGAATCATGAATAAAACAAGTTTATTTTTTACTTTGTCAACGTAAATTGGTATAGGCAAACAAACTCATATACAAGGCCGCGCTGAAAAAACCACTACGTAATTTCAATCTTCCACCATTTCGGAAGCTTAAGGGGAAACTCAAATCTCAAATGGCTTAGCAAGATCCTTCGTTATGCCGAAAGTATTGCAGCGTTAATTTTGAAATAAATATATGGTAAAGTTGAGGATTAATGTTAAGGATTATGTTGACGAAAACACGATTTCGTAAAATTTTCTCGATAGAAAAAAAAACCAAAGTTACCTCCAAAATAAACGATAAACCGCTGTTATTCATAAAATACTTTAAATAACATGATGAAACTTTGCATACTAACTGAACTAACTATAAAGCAGTGCTTATGTTATTTACTTTTTTTAAAATACCATTATTTTCACTGTAAAAAGAAATTAACTAAACCATCGGCGCGTAAGCATGATTCCTGTCGCCCCGTTAGTATCGCTCCGGCTTTTGAAGGGAGAAGTTGTGTCGCTTGCGATCAGAATATACATTTCGCAACAGTACGACGTAAAATTAAAATGGGAAATAACCGTAATAAAAATAAGAAGCGACTGGCTTGGCGTTAAGAAAGAGGCAGGCATAAATATGATAAACCTAATGAAATAAGTGTCTAACGACCTTTCTACTTACAGTATTAGTGATTACAAACATGTCGGTACATAGCATACGACGCGCGGGCAAGTGGCGACGAAATTAGAATTTGAGCTGACTTACTATATCCCCTTAATGTGTGTAATTTTATGATTTTTTGTTTGTCTTCATATTTTGTGACTCGGCTCTAAGTTTTTGGACTGTTTCTTGCATGAGCATAAGCCCATGTCACAATGTGGTAGAAAGAACAAAAATTATGGAGGACTTTGAAAGAGACATTAATTTTGAATGCATTATTGAATATCAAATAATTAACCTAAACAACGACAGCTCAACTAGTTGTGCTGAGAGTGATTGAATAAATTTATTTTTAATCTAGTTTCAATCTTAAATTTTTATAACTTTGCAACTAGAAATAAGCAGTAACGAAAATACGAAGAAAATTATAAATCTTGTGTTTCAATTATCCGTTTCTAATTTATTCTGATATTATTCAAACCAAACTGTGAATGTTTACCAACTCTAAATAATCGATATCGATTTTTTTTTTAAATCAAATATTGTACGTTCCAATTTTTTGGTTGGCATGCTTGGTGCAATAAGTCTGACAGCTGTCAAAATGTATTTCTTAGATTTTGTTGACTATAATATTTTTGGGATTGATATTTTCTTTCGAGGTTTTAGGTAGTTTATTAATTAATTTAGGAATAATAATCTTATTTTGGTGACTTCCAACCTTCCAACTTTTAATCACGAATTGCCATCGTGGTACATATTTAGAACCCGAATCACGCATTGCAAACGACATAAACGCCTTAAAAGATGCCGCAAGAGTAAAACGGCGAGCCATTCTTCTCAGGGCAGTTGCCGAAGGTACGTTAAGGTTGCCTCACATCTGTACCTAAGGATCTCCAACAAATCCCGTTTGAGGATATCCTAAACATCTTGGATACTCCTTTCACACCGAAGCAGGTTGGATTTGCGAGCGCCACAATTTCTATGCCGCTACCCAAAAGCCCACCGAGTCACCGTCGCAGTGGGCCGCTAGATTGCGCGGCCTAACCGCTCACTTCCAATTCTCCAATGTGGAGGAAGCACTAAGGGACCTTATAAGGGGATTTATTCTCTCAAAAGTTTCTCGTCAAAAGTGCGCGGTTTGCGGTTATACGAGTCACAGTGCGTCGGAGTGTCGTTTCGCTAAATACAAACAATTGATAGAACCAGGCGTTACTTTGCGGAAATCCAATATAATAAAGATATTAATAGTTACTTTACAACCATCCGCTCAATTAGATACAATGATGTGTCTCACCTAGATTGAAGAGCACCTCCCGCCCTCCCCCAATTGCGTGCACTACTCCCAACACCACTACTCCCAGCACCACTACTCCCAACACCACTATTCTAGGAAAGACACACCATCGACGATAATACGACACGTGTTTCGCCTCTACACGAGGCATCTTTAGGTGATGTAGACTCTACGACGGCTGACCGCTAAGCTTAGCGTAAGCTTAGTGTAGTGCAAAAGGATAGTGCAGGTATTGAAAAGCCAATCTCGTTTGCATCACGGACGTTAAATATGGCCGAGAAAAAGTATTCTCAAATACAAAAAAAAACCAAATGCTATCGTATTTCCACCAATATTTATATGATAGGTCTACACCTTTTATCCTACGTACGGAACACAATCAGTATTTATCAATTTTTGGGCCATAGAAAGGAATTGCGGATGTATCTGCTAACCGTTTACAGAGATATGCTTTATTTCTAAGCGGATATAATTACACTATGGAATATGTTAATAGTTTGGATAATAGTTGAGATTACTCGTCACGCGCCAGCCTTCCGTTCGCCACTGCAAGAAGTAGCGGTGCGGGCGGGGATTCAAACGCGGGGTACACGGAAACCGCCGATATTACGGTAATGTTTCTTCTTATATTCAATAATGTTTCTGTGTTGCCACTCTTCGTTACAATTAAATGTAAAATTCGGTAAATAATAAAGCTTATAATTACCTCAATATCATGTGCGCTAGCCAAAGACAATCCCTGTTGATGATTTGACAAATTCTGTCCATTAGTTTGTGGGAGAAGGCTGACGTCGAGCACAGTCCCAGCTGCAGCTGTCGCAATTGGAGCTGCTGATTCAGCCAACACCTGCTGAGGGGGAGTCTGAGCTGGGAGGATCTGGGAGATTAGCATTTTGACCTTCTTAGTCCGCCCATATATATCCACAAAGGCCCAAAGCCTCTGAGTGTGGTCTACGTGCATAACAGTTACAGGATCGGTCCCGTTCCTGCTCACACGCACTTCACCGTTTACGGTTAGGGTTACAGCTAACTCGTCTCCTCTTCCCAGGTCGTTGGCAGAGTCTCTTCTAAAAACCCAGTATTCAGGTCGGTCTAGTAACTGTTCAGAGTCATCTGGCAAGTCACGGGGTCTTAGGGTAGCTGGATCGCATGACGTCAGACCTATGGCCAGACTCTCATCAAATTCGGACTCGGTCGCTAAGATCTGGACCACGATTGTCTGTCCGGGATGCACCGGACGCGCTGTGAAAACGTATCCCTGACAGGATTCCTCTGCTATCCTGGCCGCTATGCCTCTATCGTTCCCGAAGCGAACGTTCCTTCCTTTCGTCCGGTGTAAGCTGAGTGGAACTAATGGGTTTTGGAATCTGGGTGTAGGCAACGCTTCTTCTTCTACAGTTATAGATAACAGTTTGTCATCATCTAATAATGGTCTTTGCGTGGACCTCCTCATTTGATTCGGTGCTCTTGGATCTGCAAATTGGACGGTCGAACAACCATAACATGAGTCGCCATATAAGTCTATAAGCGCCCATAGAGGACTCCTCGTGTCCACTCCAGAGAAGAACAGTCCCTTATCTTCTCCGTTTATCCCGAAATGAATGACTCCCCTTGAATCTACATAGTAATAGAATATATTATCCACCTCGTAAAACTCTTTCCACAACTGCTCTACCCAGTAGCCGGGTCTGTCAGTGTTAAATGAATAAGTGCTTTGGTAAGGAAATGTCGTGGGGTCGTGGGTGGTGAATCCAAAACCAATGACCTTGAAGCGTGTGATGATTTCGACGAAACGTACGCACACCTGGAATGAAAAAAAAAATACTTTTAAATCTCTATAATATTACACTTGTACAACCTTGTCAGTTAAGTCAACTAGGCTTTTAAGTTCTATAGGTTTTCTGTTTACTTTAGACATTTACAATTTAGCTCATTTAGCACTCGCCGTAAATTTCATAGTACGCGAGCAACCCGGGTTCGATCCCCGTGGGCATCAATGGAATTGTTAATTGCAAATTTAACTGCTAATTAACCACGTTCTCGGCGGTGAAGCGAAACTGCCTGAGAAATAAAAATATTTACACATAAGCCCCCACCGACGTTAGAGGAAGCATGTGCCCAGCAGCAATACGTACATAAGCTGTAACTTTACAAAAAAAAATGTTAAATAATTTTAAACTTAGTAACAATATTCTAATAAATACACTCTATAATTATCCTACTCCTGATACTCTGTGTTCATCTCGTGCTCTTGAAATTGTTTTCAGAAGGTTTTACATCTACCTGGTTTGTTTCCGCCTGACGTCTCTTCCAACACCCGCGGCACGATACGGGGCAGTGGATGCTCCTACACTGCCACTACACGTTCAGAAAAAGACCACCAGGAAGGATATTCACATATTCGCATACTCACTTTTTCATTAACCTTAACTGGTCTAGCGCTGAATGAGACTCCATAGCCGCTATGAACACAGCGCGCTGTGGACCCATCTTGCGAAATCCTCACGTTGGGTCCGTGCACCTCGTGGAAGCTGAGGGGCGGTAGATCGTTGGGCGTGCCACCAGTGCATGAGGTCTCGGGTGCTGAAAGAGAGTCAGGGACTTTAATTACGTTCACATTTTAATATTTATATAATTGACCTAATACTTATATATTAAGCCACCGTGTGGTGGTGGTCGCAAATAATCCACATATCCCATGAGTGTCGTAAGAGGCAAAAGAAAGAAATGAACGTGAGTTCACCACTTCATATCATCCCGTAGATGTCGTAGAAGCAGTAGAGAGAAATGAAATATGAGATGGGCAGCAGTAAAAAAAAAGACATGCGCGCAGCTCGCACACGACAAAAGTGAAACCTTCAAATGAAATGAAATATAAAATACTAATAATTTACGGCAAATGGTTTATTTAATATTATAATTTAAACTACAAGTTCGGCGTAAAATATAAGAAGATTTAATTTTATAGTAAATAAATGTAACAATCCTTCATATAAAACATGCAACATAATTAACGCACTTTGAGAAAGTAGTTTGTTCAGAATCGTTTACTGAATCGATTCATTCGATCATTTTTAATATAGGTAATTTTTTATCCCAAAAATAATTAAAACTACGTAAATTACAGTGACACTAAATCTGTACAGTCAAAACAAACTGAAATGGATCGTAACTTAAGGCAATAAGACTTTTAAGAGTCCAGTTTTGTTTGTATTATTACTAATTCTGTCATTCAATAAAAATAAAGAAAAATGAACTTTATTTCAAGCACGTTAAAGTCTTTGCGTTCGTAGATTTTACTGTGACCACATTCTTCCGGAATTAGTATAACTAATTTGATAAATAATCAGTGCATAAAAATGTTTAACTAAAAATTCAGTGTATGTTTTACGATTATAACATAATATACTAATTGGGGTGTCTGAGGGTGTGCGTTAATTACGTTACATATTGTATATTAGATACATAGATACTACATTTTCTTTCGAGTAAAATTATAATAGCGCCACCTACTTCATTCTATAGGTAGTCACTTTATCGAACAACTGATTGACACCCAAGGTGTCAGGTGGTACGTAAAATAGACACTAGATGGCCTGAATTTATGAAATCATGATTTTTTAATGAATTTTTATTTAAATATGGTTAATTGTATTTGTTAATTTTTTTACTGTTTACTGCCGCTGCCACGTGGTGTCATTTCTATATCACAGATTATGAAATGTGAGCCATACAGATGGGAAACGCACGAAACTACCTACAACCGCTTTCGATGGTTCTTTTTTTATTCTAATTAGAATAACTTGAACTCATTTATTTTATTACTTATTTTATTTAAACGACATATTTTAATCCGTCCATGTTTAAAATATCTAAAAAACTCTTAATGTACTTTTAAAACTACGGGACAGCCACTAATTTTTATGACGAGTAGATTAATTTCCCTTTGAATGTTTATACTCTTTTCGATATACCTTATATAGTACTTACTAATTAAAAAAGATTTATATCAATTTTATGTATAACCAAGTTGAGGTTTGGCCGTTCTTCACTGCTTGTTTACTCCATACGCACACGACACCTTCGAACCTTGTTGAACAAAACTCGTAAGCGACGCCGTTTCGGCGGCGTTCACGACTTTTTTCCCGCGAGCATTGAGCAATAATGCTTCCTATCTCATTTTCTCCCACGTTAAATCTTATGAATTTCAGTGTCCGTCTCTTTTTACTGTCGCTTTTTCGTTTCATAGACTTTCAAATCACAACGATGCTAAAGAAGTTTTCACTTCAATAATAAAAGCTAAAATCATCACCACCGTGACAACTATGGCATAAAAATATTTAAAAAATATCCTCATTGTGCTTTACGGAATCTTTAGGTTTTTCATAAAAGTTATGAAAGTATGTTCGCAAATGCAACTGCTTAAATTTAGATTTACTAAAAAAATCCAAAATAGCGAAAAAGTATCAACAAGAATACAAATAATATATAGTATTTCCGCGAAAATATAATCCCCTTAAACGAACAACATTTCCATTGCAGTCTCTCCTCGGTTATTCGTGAGCGTCAAGGTGGCCACCCTTAAGCCCCGGATACACTAGTGGACACGCGGAACACTCAATCTACGTGACGATGCAACATTTACACAGTGGTCCGCACATTACGTGACTTGCATGCTGAAATCAAATAATTAGCTGTCATTAAGTTAGAGAGATCACTGATTCTCGTAATACAGGTTTTCTAACCTAGCTTGGGAGTCAGAGTCATAAAAAATATTGTAACAAATTTTATGTCAGTAAAGATTATTATTATTATTATTGTGGGGTATCTATATAGTTTTCTCATCTGGTTGGGTTCTATAAATATATAATTATAAATGAAAATGAAAAGATAAATATACATAAATATCAATAACATAAAATAAATATAAAAATACATAAATAAATAAAAGCCCAACCAGATGGAGGCCCTCGGCAGGGGAGACCAAACGGCCGAGGGTTAGGGGGAAAGGGAAAGAAACCAGCGGACGATGCTGGCGGTATCGAGGAGCACCGCCTTCTGCATTTGAGCCCGGAGCGGTCCGTCACGGAGTCCCAACCGCCTCAGATGACACGAGAGGCTGACTGGGATTAACCCATTTGCAGAAACGACTACAGGTATAATTTCGGTCGACAGCCCACCCCACATGTCAGTCACTTCGTGAGCCAGGTTCAGATATTTTGTTCGCTTATCTATATCGGCTTTCACGAGGTTCTCGTCATACGGAATGGTAATGTCGACCAAAAATAGTACTGTCTGTAATTATGGCCCGGTCCCAGTAGAGCCTGGCGCGATCATTTTCGAGCACGGCTCCCGGCAAGTACTTGTAATACGGCAATTTCCGGTCCACGAAACCGTATTTCAGAACGAGCTCCTGGTGTGGAATTCCGGCCACTAGGTTGTGCCTGTGCAAGTACTCAGAGTTGGAAAGCGCCGAACAACCTGAGATGACATGCCTAAGTGACTCACCGTTGACAAGTTCGACAGATGTCGACGGTGCCATCCCTTGTGATGTATCTCCGATAGTTGTTGTTCTTAACAACCTGATCCTGTATTACACAGACAAAACCCTCTGTTTCCCCAAAGAGGTCACCAAAACATAGCCAATGGAGGGAGGCAACTGTGTACAAAAGGCTCATGTAGAGCCTTGTAGAACCTCCCATAGAGCTCGTTCTCCTTCCATAAGGTCTCCCGGTCAGAAATGCTCTGTACTGCCGGGTCTTGCCATTGCTCGTTGGATAAGGATAGAGTGGTAAGCCCTTTATCACAAGAAATGACGTCCCTATAGAATGTATCGTCCGATCTCGTGAGAAAGTAGTTCCGGATTCTGCACACTTCGCGATTATGCATGGTAAGCGCGCTTAAAAAGCAACGGCAATTACAGCCTCATAATCGGAGATCTCGGGTGATGCATCCTGTGGGACGTCATAGTAGTGCGGACTTTTCTATCCAGGGCGTTTAGTTCAGTCTGAGTCCACCTGAGTATGCCAAAGGTATACATGAGGACAGGCATGACCCAGCCGTTATAAGCGTATGTCTTATTCATACCGGACAAAAAGCAACTGTCTGTTTCATACCAGCCTCATCGATACCGATGTTCTGTGACATACTCAGGTATCGGTATGTTTCGCCTCGGAAAGGGTCCTTAAGTTGACGGGCATAGATAAGTCTCCCTCAGAGTTTTTAACCCTTCCCCTTTCAACATGGAGGACCGCACACTTTCCGTTCCCAGCTCCATTCCAATAGAATTGCTAAAATAACAAGTGATATTTAGCAATTCTAAGATGGGAGCGACTGGAGGTGAATAACTTAAGATCACCCACATAGAAAAGGTGGGTCATTTGTGTACCTCCTTTCCAAAGCTGAAATATCCTCCCGGAGCCCTCCAGTACAGTACTACAGAGGGTTCAAAGAGAGGCTGAACCAGATTGGACTTAGACAATCGCTCTGGAAGATACCCCTTCTTATCCTTATGCGGCTTTCCGCAGCCGTCATCCGCTTACCCAGATGACAAAGGATCGTACTCCACTTCCCCATACATTGCTCGAGGAAGTTTCTAACTGTACAGTCAATCTTGTACAGCTTGAGGACCCTGTATGGGGAACCGAGTCGAATGCCTTTCTGTAGTCTATCGAGACGGCGGAGAAGTTCCGACGGTTGCGTTTCACCACTTTGCCAATGATCGCGTCAATGAGGAGTGGTTCCTTGGTTCCACGACCGCCGCCCCGACATCCGTTTTGTGCGCGCGTCATCACCTGATTTGAGTACAGGTGACGAGTGATTCTCGCGCTCAAAATGGATGTGTCTTGTATATGGTCGTTAGATACGTGATGGGGCGGTATTTGCTCGGGTCTGTGGTAACCTGGTCTTTAGGAACCAAATGAGTGATCCCAGTAATTAAGAGGCTAGAGAGCGAAAAAACCAGGCTGACAAACATCTGGAGGAACAGTAGCATAACAAATAATACTAAATTACGCCTAGTATATATTCCAATTTTTCTCTATGGAGTGGAAACATGGACTATACGAGTCAGAGAAAGGGAGAGAATTGATGCGTTCGAAATGTGGTGCTGGAGGCGAATGCTGCGAATACCGTGGACTGCTAAGCGCACAAACGTGTCAATCCTACCACAACTCAAGATCAAAACGCGTCTTTCCACCACATGTCTTCAGCGCATCCTCAGCTATTTTGGTCATATCTCTCGCCGCGGGGACGAAAGTATTGAAAAATTGATAGTTGTTGGAAACGTAGAGGGAAGAAGGCCCAGAGGTAGATCTCCAACCCGTTGGTCCGACCAACTCAAAGAAGTCGGTGCGCGAAACTTCTACGACGCTCTCCGTATGGCCAGCGATAGGACCCGGTGGAGAGAGATCATAAACAATAAACTTACTCTCCGTGATGGTGATCACGATCCTCAGTCATGAGGGACCGACTAGAGAGAGAGAGAGAGAGAGAGTAACCTACTATATAAGTATGTAAAAACAATTAAAGTTTCAGCCTAGATAGCTACGTCCCACAGCTGGGCACACGCCTTCTCTCATTTCTGAGAGGGTTTTAGGACAAGAAAATGTCCGCCGCGCTGCCTGAATACGTGTTGGTGAACTACACATGTATCGAAATATTTTTTTTCTTGTTTCTCAGACACGCAGGTTACCTCACAATATATAACTTCACTGTCGAGCACGTGTTAAATAAGCATTTAAAATTTCAATTAACAGTTTCATTGGTGCCGACATACATACATTACATAATTACATTGGTAAAAATTACAGCGATTGCAAAGCCAGGAGCAACCACGGCTCTTAGTTATAGTCATAGGACGATATAATTGTCGTAAATTAAATAAAACGTTCGCAATCTTATATCATCTATTTACAAAGTTACCGCCCCCGCGAGCAACCGCAACAGATGAGCGCGCATTGTTACCGCAATGGGGGCGGTTTAGCGTCATCCAATAAATGTCTTGCGATGTTATTTCGTTGGCAAAATTGATATTCATTAAAACACTTAAATCAAGTTTAAAAATCTCTATAAGTATATTTTTAAAAAAAAACTGTATACAGGGTATTTTTGTAATGCTTCCGAAAACGAAGACGGACTTTAGTACTAACGATACCGTTGACGATTAGAACAGGTTAAAATCGATCCCATTGAAAAAAAATACCATCTTTTCACAATGTTTTATTAGCTTTATTCACGCTCGAACATGTTAGTACAGCTAAACGAATATGTATTACATATAATTTTCCACATGTTGGCCTTGTAAATTGCGACGCGACAGAGGGTTAGCCGGATGGCGGCAGCGCGTGTGTATTTATTCTGTGGTTTCGTATTCGTACCGAGCTAAATAAAAGAGTTCAGCGTCCACGCGTTTATTGACCCTATAATCAGCTGGTGCCATTCTAATGTTCACTACTGGTTTTATTTTTCTTTTTTAGCTGTACTAATGCGATAAAGCGTGAATGAGGCTAATTAAACATTGTAAAAAAATGATTAGTTTGCATCGGGATCGATTTTATTCGAGTCTCATCATCAAATGTATCCTTAATACTATCATCTGTCTTCGTTTTCGGGAGCGTTACAAAAATATCCTGTATATAGTATATAAAAAAAAACTTGAAATTAACTTGACTGATTTTGATCAAATTTTGTGTGTATTTGAGTGGGTCCCTGGATGGTTTACATTCACGACTGGAGTCGGTGGGTGGCGCTGCTGTCGACATCCAGAAACCACCCGTGCGGTGGAACGCGTGCTTAAAATAATTAGGCAAGAATGAACAGGCTTTGGTAACGATAAGATAGCGCGACTTACTATAGAAGCTTCATCACCACATACCACCAGGCTACCGTTGTAGTGACGTCGAGCATCGGCTTACAATAAGTAAAATGTGTGGTGAAAATAACGACACTAGACATTTATCGAGTGCATTTAAAAAAAAATAGAATAAGAGTGCAAACGAGCACACAGTACACCTGATGTTAAGAGCGGCCAACCCGTCTTACTTTTTATACAAACGCTCGTACGTGATTATGGCGTTGTAATATCTCTTTCTTTGAAATTTTTGAACTAATAGGTATCTTGTGCACTATATCTAAGTTTCTGTCAAAACAAAAAATCTAAATTTGGAGAAACAAATTCAGTATAAGCCTCCAAAAATCTGCTTTTTGCACAAAATTACCTGAATTTTGGCCGTTCATAATGTACTCATAAATAGTAAAACCAATGAAAATATTTTGATAGAAACTTCGCAAATATAATCGAGTTTCTAAATGACATACATTTATTTCACAAACTTGTAAGGCTTACTGAAAAACACGTATTTCCTGGAACAAGTTTTATGAAATTTCCGCACACTATTTTTCGTTCAATGTTATCGCGTTCTCACTTGCTTGTTAGTTAAATGGCGGTGAGGTATGCGGAGGACGAGTCGAGCGGGGTTCTGGCGGGGTGAGACGGGGGAGTTGAACCACGCTCGGCTCTCGGGCTTCTCTGAGTTGTTAGCCTAGTATATAGTTATCTGTGTTGTTAGCAGGTATAGAATTTGTTGACTGCGCGTACGCGAATGTGCTGTTGTATTTTAATTTTAGTGAATTCTGTTTTACCTACTACGACGGTCTTGTTTGTTTTTATATCGGACACTGCTTTGGCTTGCGAAAGGTTTAGTGTCGTGAACAACAGAAATTATTGACTCACGTTTCCCACGCAAACTGCCAATGAGAGAAAGACTCGATGATTGACTGTATTAGATAATAATTGATTTTTTTCTAAATTTTCAATCACTTCTGACAGTTTAAGAACTGTTTTTGTTCGGAAAACGGAATCTTCTCGACAACTGGGTTCTTTTATGTATTGTTTATAAAATGTGACAAAGTTTTTTAGAATAAAAATTGATATTTACCCAACTGTATTTAGACTACTTTATTTGATCAACCGCCTGTACTACGGTACAAATTAGTACCTATACAAACATGCATTTGTAGTCATTTACATACGGTACCTACATGTTAAATAACTAATTTCCGCATCCTCTAATGTAATACTAATACAGACAAACTGGATAGATAAAGAATTTATTCTGCTACTACTACTAGTCCTAAGCAGAATAAATCATTTACCTTTAACTTTTTCGTGCTGTATTTACGTATATGATGGACGAACAAAAAAAGTCGAACGGAACTCCCTGCTAAAACAAAACTGAGTCTGGTCTATGTGTGAGTAAGGACGTTTGCGCGTGTAATGGCTGACTAATGTGTGAATGTGTCCGGGCTTGTACGCACGACGACCATTTAAAAAAACCAGTTTATACGGATCTCTCATTGTACGGGAAATTGATACAAAGCGAGACCATTGTATACTGGAAATGTCTAGCTTTATGTGTTTACAGTTTTTTAATAGCGACAATCTGACTTTCTTTGTTCGTCCATGAGGTACTTGTATATATGAAATAAGAAAAAGCCAAAAATAACGCACGCACGGTAAATAGATTGGTAAAAATACAACACAAATAAATCTCCGAGGCCAAGCGTTACGTCCGTACTAGACAAAGCATGTAATATAATAAAGTAATACGGTACTAAATGTAGGTATACACCTGTCCTGTATGCAGAGATATTTACAAAACTATGGCTATGCGCACGCGAGGACATAGTTGCAAGACGCGCGCGTGCGATTCAATATTATTGTTATTTTCATGAATGGACCACTAGCGTAGACCGCTAGTGAGCCATCGCCCGCGAGTTAGCGGCAAAAGTTACCGAATGCAAACCGAGCGCTCAGGCGCTATCTCTCTCTTTTCGCTTTGCCTCCTTTTCTAACATTGCGCTGGATGAAACAACAAGCTTTTCAACCATACTCGCATTGACGATAGACGGGCCGGGAAGGGTCCTCTTAAGAGTCCTTAACTAAGAATCAAAATGCAAACGTTGTCACACATGCGAACTAAAATGGAATGCCTTGTGTCCAGTAAAGAGATCCCCGGTTCTCCACACTCACCATACGAAACACAGCAGCATTAAGCTGCTATTTTACGCTGGTATTCAGAGAGTGCGTGGTTATTCCCCGGTCGAGCTGACCCCTTCGTGCCATAACTATACTACTAATATAGCTGCTGCATGGCTTTACCACGGTGGAATTAACTGGTTTATATCGTGGCTGCCACATCCCTATCGTTCACAAAGTGGATGTTCCTTCCTTTAGTCCGGTATAAGCTGAGTGCAGCTAGTGGGTTTTGGTACCTGGGTGGAAGTAACTCTTCTTCTACGCTTAGAGATCTCATCTTACCTATGAGTCTGTAATCTTCTACTAATGTGCTTTGCGTGGACCTTCCCATTTGATTCAGTGCTCTTGGATCTGCAAATTGGACAGCCGTACAGTTGCCATATAAGTCTATTAACGCCCATAGAGGACTCCTTGTATCCACTCCAGAAAATAACAGTCCCTTATCTTCTCCGTTTATTCCGAAAATAACGTCTCCCGCTGAATTTACATAGTAAGAGAGTATGTTATCTAGCTCGATGAATTGTTGTAACAACTCCCGGACCCAGTAGCCGGGTTTGTCGGTGTAATCTATAAGAGGGGTATTGGATAACGCGAGTGCTAATGTCGTGGGATCCTCGTGCGTGGTGAATCCGAAACGAATGCCTCCAAACAATCTGTTGGTCATTTCGACTAAACGTACGCACACCTGCAATGAAAAGTAAATACTATTAACTCTCTGTAATATTACACTTGAACAACCTTGTCAGTTAGTCCACTAGGTCAATTAAGTTCTATATGTTTTCTGTTTACTTTAGACATTTACAATTTAGCTCAGGGCTAAGCACCCGCCGTTAGTTTAACAGTAGGCGAGCAACCCGGACTTACCTAATCGGACCATTTGTCCCAGGTAAACGTACTCGTCAACAACTTCGAGCTTAGTGCTCCCAACAACTACGGGCATAGGTGTGACATAGACATTAAACATGATCTTTGTTTTGTCAATGTTCATCTTAAGACCTATCCGTTGGGAGGCACTATTGAGGTCATTGAACATAGTGCTTAAGTCCTCCAGCGATTCTGCCATAAGGACTATATCGTTCGATCCCTGTGAGCACCCACGAAATTGTTAATTGCAAATTTAAGTGCCGATGAACCACGTTCTCGGCGGTGAAGCGAAACTGCGTGACGAGCCTGCACGTCTGAGGAATAAAAATACTTAAACATAAACCCCTCTCAGAAATTAGAGGAAGCAAGTGCCCAGCAGTTGGACATGTATAAGCTGTAACTTTACTGTTGATAAGCAGTGATACAGAACACAGGTCATGCTGAATAAGTCTCGTTAGTGCTGTGCTAGCAGTGCCGCTTGGCGCTCTAAAGGGCCAAGTAATAGGTATAAGGTAGAAAGCTAGTGTAATTACAGGTTGTAAGGCGATCCTCAGTCTTGACAACGCGTCTGTTACATTTTTATTTAGTTGCAGTCTATTGGCTGCAGTGCCAACTTGTAGGTGTGCTGCTCACACAAACATATTATATACAATACAAGTACAAATATATTTATTCGTAACATAAGTCTCTCCCTTTCAAGTTTGTGAAACCTGTATTAGGATGAATCCGCTCTTCCTTTAATCAGTAAATCATGATAGATATGACTTGTCTTACATAAAGAAAAATCAACAGACATAAGTAACAATAATTATAATAGCTGTGTGTGGGTGTGCGCGCGTGTACGTGCGCGCGTGTACGTGCACGCGCGTGCGTTCGTGTGTCTGCGTGTGTGTGTGTGTGTGTGTGTGTGTGTGTGTGTGTGTGTGTGTGTGTGTGTGTGTGTGTGCACGCTCGCGCTCCTATGTGTGTGTGTGTGTGTGTGTGTGTGTGTGTGTGTGTGTGTGTGTGTGTGTGTGTGTGTGTGCGCTCGCGCGCCTATGTGTGTGAGCGCGCGTGTGTGTGCGCACTCGCGTGCGTGTGTGTGTGTGTGTGTGAGTGCGCACGCGCGTGCGTGTATGTGTGTGTGCGATCTTCTGAGGCCAAATTGAGCGTCCGATAAAATGTTATATTTGTTTATAAAATTTAAGTCGTTTATTAATAATTTTGGAAATCACTGTTAGGACAGAAATAGGTCTGTAGTTATTAACGCCGTCTCCAGCCCCACTCTTATACATAGCCCATTAACCCATTTATTATGGGTAATGTTCAAGAAAAACCAGTTAATGTTTCTCAAGCTCAGAGTACTGTAGAGAAGAAAGTGGATAATTTTCAAATATGGTTGTATGTGCAAGTGTTGGTGCCAGCGTTCCGATATCGGGCCAGAACATGGGTCAGATGATAGACGCCTGTAGCGCCAGTCTGCAGCACGCGGCCTCCGTATAGCCCGGCGCCTAGCGCATTAACAACTGTTTGTATACTGTTAGGTTTTTGTATGTGTTCATTGTATAGTTTTAAGTTTTTTTTATTCATTTTATAAAGGAGGAAGTATTGTAGGTGTGCTGTGCACACACACATGTATACTTAGTAATATTGTACCTATCTACTTAGTTACTAATATTGTCAGTCACCAGTTGCCCGCCAACTGTATCGCGCGTTCCACTACAAATAAATATCCCGTAAAAGTTATCATATCTTTCATTATGGTCACCCGTAAGGACCCCTATTAGAATCGTGCCGTTTGAAACTCGATGAAACGACGAAAGCGACAGTAAAAAGAGACAAACATATACAACTATAAGATTTAGCCCGCGAGAGAATGAGATAGAATACAGTACAAAGTGTTGCCTACTTTTTTTATCTACCTATTATATGCTTTAGTTACCATAATAAGCCACACGTTGAAATAGAAAATTTGGAGTCTGTATTTGTAGTAAAAAATGTAAAATAATTTTTTAACTTGATAACAATATTCTAATAAACAAACCCTAAAATTATCCTACTCCTGATACTCTGTGTTCATCTTGTTCTCTCGAACTTTAGTTTTCTAAAGGTTTCAATTCTACCGCGTGTGAACTGCACACTTGCTTTTATATTTGCCGTGTATTACAGTCTGTAACTGCAGATTTTAATTTTCCAGTTACCATCAGGAAGACGCTGCTGCCATCTCCTGGTTAGTTTCCACCTGTCGTCTCTTCCAACACCCGCGGCACGATACGGGGCAGTGGATGCTCTCACACTGCCACTACACGCTCAGAAAAAGACCACCAGGAAGGATATTCAATGAAAGTTTTCCGAAATACTCACTTTTTCATTAACCCTAACTGGCCTAGCGCTGAACGCGACTCCAATCATGAGGGACTTATCGCGGTGAGCTGTGAAGCCATCTTGCGAGATCGTCATGTTCTTTGAGTGCACCCTGTGGAAGCTGAGGGGCGGCAGATCGTTGGGCGTGTCACCAGTGGATGAGGTCCCGGGTGCTGGAACAAAGAGTCAGGGACTTAAATACGTTCACATTACATATATATATATATATATATATATATATATATATATATATATATATATATATATATATAATTGAGATTGAATAAGATATTCTTGACATTTGTAACTTTATCTTAAACACATTAATTGTATTCAATACAGCGGGGTAACAAGAGCTTAGCTTATTCCTTTGATTCTCTTTATACTATCCGGTAAAGCTCACGGACGACTGAGAGAGTGTTAAAATGAAAGTAATGCAATGACTTCATAATACGCAAATTACGAGATAGCTATACCGAGCAAGCGCTCGGAAATAAACTACGTAAGCGCCAAACAACATTTTTATTTTTTTTAACAAAACTACGTTATGGATTAAAAAAATGGTTTATGAGAACTTGGATATGACTATTTACTATGCCTTAAAAATAATGCCATGAACTTATTCGTAAAATTATTGTGGCGTCATGGAAAAATGTAACTAATTAGAGTCTACTTTGGAGTTTTTTTTCCATCAAGAAAATTTCATGTTGTTGTGTTTTCCTTTTATGCAATCTAAGGTCATATATTCAAAAGTTTCGTTTCTTTCACAGTTCTTTTTAACACTTTTACACTCACTCTGGAAATGTCCTTCCAGACATTTTATTCTTTACCACAAAAGCAGACGACGATGAATTTTGCTGGAGTTCTTCGTTTTTACCCTTTAACCTTTCTTCTTCCATTAGCAATCTCGCCACTATTTTCTCCAAAGTTTGCTTGCCATCAGGAGATGATTCCTAGGCCGAAATGAAATGTTTATAATCTTCAGGGAGCGACATTAGTATTTTTGTTATTATAAGTTTTTCTGATATTTCTTCACCCATTTGTTTTAGTTGACACTGCAGATCTTGAATTTTTGACAGGAATACAGACATTCGGTACCTTTTCATATTTGTACTGGAAGAATTTTTGTTGTACCATGTGAATGCTCGTCTCAGTTTTGTTGTTCATACACACTCTGTAACTTCCTCCACATCTCCGCTGATGTCGAACAGGAAATGATATGTAGTGTCACATCTTCTGTCATCCGTGTAACTATTAAGCTCTGCGCCTTGGCATCCATATTTTCCCGCGCTGTTTTCTCAACATTTTCTTCGGTTTCCACACATCGGCCCTCTACTATATCCAGCCAACCTTGTCCGTAATATTCTCATATGGAATTTCCACACATTCCAATTTCTGGAACCTTCCAACTTTAACACGTTTACGTTTTGATTGTGTTCCATCTTTTGTTCTGCCGTCCTGCACAACGTGGCGACTTCCTAACCTCAAACTGCTGGTTAGTCGAAGTGCAGTAATTCCCTAACCTTTATTTAGTCCTAAGCAGTTTATGTGCCTGGGCCCATAACCTAATGAAAATAAATAAAATATTCTTGATCATTGTAACTTTTTTTAAACACATTAATTGTATTCAATACATGCGCTGAGACAAGTATATAACATGAACGTTAACCACCGATAATAGCAGAGCGGAATGTCCAACATAATAACTCAAACAAATCACAAACTAAACAGTGCTACCAAATACATAATTTAAATGTAATTGTATTGCCACTTCACAATATATATATATATATATATATATATATATATATATATATATATATATATATATATATATATATATATATATATAAATGTATAATTTACCTAATACTTATATACAATTCACCGTGCAGTGGTGGCGGCAGAGAATCCACATAATGTCATAGCGTCGGAAAAGGCGAAAGAGAGAAATGAAATATAAGATGAGCAGCAGCATGTCTCCCACATCAACTACTGCTTATCCCCTCGGTCATTCGTGAGCGTCAAGATGGAGTGCCCCCTTAAAGATGGCAGCCACCTGCGCGGCCAACCCGCGCCCATGCCGTAATGTTAATTAAAATATACCTTTGATCGTCTATGAAATGCTACTAATTAACTTTTTAAAAATTGTTCTCAAATAGACTAATACATATAAAATTTAAATAAAAAATTGTTCTACTTTTTACAATTTTATTTCAGAAAATCACTTTCTATCAATAAACCGATATATATGTATATAAATTGCCTATCGTTATACATATATATATATATATATATATATATATATATATATATATATATATATATATATATATATATATAGGTACTTAGAACCATGGAAGAACTTCATACATTACAGCATTCACCCGCATTGGAACTTTACCCTCTATTAATCAAGAGGAACACCCCATTGTGTACGCACGTGCTAGATCCGACAGATTTCCGATTATATAGTACAGTGCGATTTAACCGGGAGTAGTACCTACATACTGCATATTATTTATAGCGCCAAATAAAGTGATATGATACATTGTCTCCTGTAACTTGGCGCGCTATTTGACAAGTTTTGATGAAAAATATATTTAACTAGCTAGTTAACTAGTTAAATAATTTTCGAAAGATGGTTTTAAATTTGAACAGGTAATATTGTTTAATTCGGAATGGTATGTAATACATTCATTGAAGTTAAATGATATATATATATATATATATATATATATATATATATATATATATATAACTTTCAAATATGTTTTTTGGACGATACGCGCTACCTGTTGTAAGTTGACTTGTTTTTTTTTTACAAATTATGTTTTTGATGGCATCTCATTTCTTTTTGTAGACAAGATAGTCGTAGTTTTTTTTCCTTTCCGGTACCTTCTACTTCTTGAGTACCAACAACGTACCTATCTACACCTATTATACATATATAAGAACACTGATTCATTCACCGCAAATGTAACTTTGTAATTCTATATATTTATATCGGATTACAAAGTTATTTATGCAGTTGCTGTATCTAGAAAACTGGACCGAAATTAAAAAATATTTTAGTTTTTCCTTGATTTATACATTAAGCAATAGTTGTATTCTAAATTTGAAGCTTCTATGTCTGCTAGAAGTGCCTTAGAGTTTTGATGATCGGTCAGTCAGTGAGTGACAAAATTAAGAAACTTTGACTAGTTATAATTCTTGAACTACTGGTTCAAATTGAATGAAATTTGAAATATAACCATTTTTATACAATTTCTACCGGGTAACTGAAATTCAGGATTCTAATTTTATCCACTACGAAGTTATAGGGGGTCGAAAATGGCCCGAATTGTTTCGAGAAAAGTATGGTACGGCCGTGCCGCTTTTTTGCTTGACTTGGCGGGGACACTTCCGTGCCCCCAGATATACTTAGTATTTAACACTGATGTATTTAATATTGTAGACGTGGTAGCTCAGGGGCTTACCGCTCGCTGTGAATTTCTCAGTACGCGAGCAACCCAGGTTCCATCTCCGCTGGCATCAATGAAATTTTTAAATGTAATTTTAATTGCTGATTTAACACGTGCTCGGCGGTGAAAGAGAACATCGTGAGGTAACCTGTGTGTCTGAGAAACAAGAAAACAAAATGTTTCGATACATGAGAAGTTTGGCAATACGCATTGGGGCAGCGCGGCGGACATTTCCTTGTCTTAAACCCTCCTAGAAACGAGAGTAGACCTGCCCAGCTGTGGGACGTAGATGAGCTCTAACTTTAACTTTCATCTTTTTATTAACTACGAAACAAAGTATATACTTAAACAACGTCACAAAATATAGAGTAATTGTATTTAATTGTATATACTCGTAATACGTCTGATTGAGAAGATCAAAGTGATTTTTTTTTCTTTTTAGTTGAAGTTAAAAATTAAGTTAATTGCTTTTACTTTCAAACTTATTAGTTTCTATTCCTAGGACATTTTCTTTTATAGGAGAGGTGGCAAACGAGCATACGGCTCACCTGATGGTAAGTGATTACCGTCGCCCATGAGCAGCTACAACACCAGGGGAATTGCAGATGCGTTGCCGGCCCTTTAAAAAGGAGTAGGCTTTTTTCTTGAAGGTTCCTAAGTCGTATCGGTCCGGAAAAATCTCTGGTAGTAGTCGATTCCACAAGGAAGTCGTGCGAGGAAGAAAACTTCTTATAGATCGCACGGTGGTGGACCGCCAGTCATCCAGATAGTACGGATGGTATCGCGAGTTTTGTCGCGATGTGCGATGGTGAATTGTGCGGCTGGTATTAGTCCGAACAATATTTCGAGTAAGTCCTCAATAGCTGAATACGTAAGGGCGTAGTTTATAACGAGTTGCTCAACTGTCAAAAAATCGAGGGGACCTTACATCCGCCGGATGCAAATCAATGGACTGCCTTTTCCTATCAAGCTTAACGATTTTGGAGGAGGAAATCGGTAGTGTAATCTTTTGTGGATAGAGATCTATTTTTTTTTAGGCAAAGGTGGATATGATACATTTAGTTTACTAGCATATAGATAAAAAGTAACAATATATAACAAGGTTTTAATAGCAACACGTAACGCTACAGTTAAAACGACATTTAACAGAGAACGTCAACGCAAACTGTCAGCGTTTACGTCACCAACTCTTTCCGATGGGACGGTAGTACCTAAGTTTAGACTATCTGACGTCAATGCTGGTCCAGATCTCCAATAGACCCGCAATTATGCCGGTAATGGAATAGACAGCGTAGTTTAGAACAACGAAATAGACTAACAGTTATCTACGACATTGTACCTAATACGCTAACCGGTACCTACTCATATACAAGGATGGTATTCTTGAAGAGACTTCATATGTCAACAACCCTGTGATGTCTTTTGGTAAATTTTGACTGCAGAGATAGTAATTAGAACGCACACAAGTATAGCTGCCCTTAAAATTTATAAGAAAGCGATATTCACTACTATTCTATACTATTCACATAATGAGGCAAGAATGAATAGGCTTTTGTAACGATAACATAGTGCGACTTACTATAGAGGCTTCATCACCACATACCACCAGGCTACCGTTGTAGTGACGTCGAGCATCGGCTTATAATAAGTAAAATGTGTGGTGAAAATAACGACATTGGACATTTATCGAGTGCATCTTTATAATTTTTTTATAAAATATGAGTGCAAACGAGCACACAGTCCACCTGATGTTAAGTAGTTGTTATGGCCTGCAGACACTACTTACTAGTACCTCGACTACGAATCAAAATGCAGATGCGTTGTCACACCTGAGAACTAAGATGGAATGCCTCGTTTCCAGTAAAACCGACTCTCACTCTGAAACTCATCATACGAAACACAGCAGCATTAAGCTGCTACTTTACACTGGCATTCAGTTAGAGCATGGTCCTTCCCCGGTCGAGCCGACCCCTCGTGCTACACAAGTGTACTACCACTATAGCTGCTGCATGGCTCCACCACGGCGGAACCAACTATTTATACAGGTAATGTTGCGCGTATGAACGGGACCGCGGCAAGCACAAGCTTACTTGAGCAACCTATATAGACCACCACAGAAGATCTCCACAGAACCCGAAAAGCCGGGCTTGCCTTATCAAACTGAATCAATCAACAATATCAACTAATAAAATAGCACTCCACTGTTCGACACAGGTCACCTCGTATTGCCTTAGCGATACTGCTGCTGTCATAAAAAATGAGTTTTAATAGAGCGATTAGTTGTCTCTCTCGCTCGCGTGGGCTTTTTACGGAGCTTTCGAGAAGACGATCGCTCTCTTTCTAACCTATGGCAAAATATTCTATAATGAAATACAACTACGATTGTATATATAGCAATTAGTACAGAGAGTTAAAGCCAGGCTTTAGGAATGCGGAGGCGCGCAAGCAATACGTTTGCAAGTTCATTTCAAATTTCAATGTTTATTTACTCTGTGTAAAAGCTATACTGTGTAAAGCTTAAGAGATTTAATATTGCGAGTTGAAAGTTTATGTTTTTTTAAAGATTTTTAGTGAAAATGGAGGATAATAGTGTTCTTTGTGATGAATTGAAGTGTGTTAAAGTGCTAATCGGAGAGGAAAAGGTAAAATCTTCAAACTTTGTTGAGATAATACACAAGTCAAGAGTGTATTTCAGACTTGATCGCAATTAAAAAAGAGTTATTGGTACAATTAAAACGTTCACCAACATTTTACACGGACGTAATTAAATCTTTCCTTAAGAAAGAGAGACCATTCCATTTAGAATGTAAATATATATTTTTTAATTTTGTACATTGTACTTTGTTCATGTTTTACTTTTGTTCATGTATTGTATTGTATGTAAATATCTTTTTCTTTCGCTCAAACAAACCCAAACGGCTTTTTTCAAAGCCACCGAAGCTATGCAATTGCTGATATGTAATATAATCTGCTTTGTTAAACACGTCCTTGATGGCACTGAATATTAAACGAAGAGTGGAGACGGATCAAGATTGGTGTATTTTTATAAAACTGCTAAAAACAACGATCTATATTTTTATCAAGTTTGGAGCTCTAGCTTCGCCACTGACGAAACACAGTAGCATTAAGGTGCTATTTTACACTGGTATTCACTGAGAGCATGGTCCTTCCCCAATCGAGCCGACCCATCGTGCTACACAACTATACTACCACTATAACTGCTGCATGGCTCCACCACTGCGGAACCAACTATTTATGCAAGTAATGTTGCGCGTATGCACGGGACCGGGCGAGCACAAGCTTACTTGATCAACCTATATAGACACATCACGACTTGTACGTGCGGATAGTGTTCATTATTTGAGCCCTGCATAGCGGGCACTAACCCCCACCCTTATCCCTCCACTGCTGCACTGTGCAACTGTAGCACATGCACATATGTCCACACATATACAATACACTGTCTACTGGGTTTTCATAGCAAATTGTGCATTCTCCGGAGAGGTTTCCTTCTCCGATGTGCGAGAACTTAAACTCACCGGAGACCTTCCTCTCCTCCTCCTCCTCGGGTTGTGGTGGGATCGGCTGGTATCCGGCCACGCATAGCTGCGATGATGCTTGAATCGGCTGTAACACAGAAAGATAAAATTCATCTTGCGTAATAAATTGTTGTATGTATTTTTATAAAGCACTGGGGATAGGTTCAATAGAACGAGTAGTTTCTGGATCTCGACTACAGCGCCACCTGTCGGGTCCAATAGTGAATCTAAACCATCCAGGGACCTACTCGAACACACACCGAAAATTTCCTTAAAAATCAGTCTGACCTAGACCTAAAGTCTAAGATGTAATGCCTCGTTTCCAGTACAATGGGTCTCCGGTTCTCTACACTGACCTTACGAAACACAGCTGCATTGAGCTGCTATTTTTGGCCGGTGCTCTGTGAGAGCGTGGTCCTGCCGCAGTCGAGTAGCCGCAGCAGTCAATCTAAACCATTCTCGAATTAACTTAACCACACACAAAATTTCATTAGAATCGGTACTGCCGCTTAAGAGTTTAGTCACATAAACTTTATATATATATATATATATATATATATATATATATATATATATATATATAAAGATATATTAATAGAATAGCCACCGTATTGTGACGGCGTAAGAGAAGCCGGCGACAGAGAAATAAAACAACGGATGAACACCAACTATTTTCGAGATGTTAGAGCTGTTAGCCTATGCGGCTCTTACAGCTTCATCTGATTCAGGCTAATTGAAAAGGGAATGGCAATGCGGATGAGAATAATGATGGTGATGGTTTATGATTTGGTATTATTAGATACCAATCATGTCGCCCCTTCGGTCGTTTTTGAGCTATCTAACCGTTGTCCGAGTGGGAAGTGCGGTCCCTCCCCCGACTGCTCAGCTCGTGTCGATGTTCTGGGCGGTGAAAGCCGGCCAGGCAAGCGCTGTGTGCTGGGACGCGCCCCATTCGGTATCCAACTGGTACAGGTCCATTTGGTGTGGGTGTGGTGTCATTGTGTGTTGTACCTGCGACGTTTGAGTCGACTGGATCGAGCAGTTGTGATGGTTCTATTAGTATGTTATGTACTGCCTCGTTGGTCTAGTGGTTGTAGTAGTGCGACTGCCGATCATGAGGTCCTGGGTTCGAATCCCGGGTCGGGTCAAAGAATTAATTATTGAGTTTTTCCGTCAAGAAATTCTCAGTAGTTGCTCGGAGTTAGGAAGTTGGCGGTGTCTCACCCCCGTGTCTCGGAAAGCACGTAAAGCCGTTGGTCCTGCGCCTGATCTCTCTCCGGTCGTGTCGGTTTACCGTCCCATCGGGTAATGAGAGTGAGGGAATAGAGAGTGCACCTGTGCTTGCGCATACACTTGAGCACTATAATCCTGTCCTGCGCTAATAGCTAGCCTCCGTTGAGGCAGGCCACCATCACCGAAATTCGGTCGGGAGGACATTATTATTATTATTAGTATGTTATGTAGTAACCTGTAACTAGTAAGAGGGCGCGACGTTTGGTATTGGGATGTAGTTGGGCGCGTTTGCCACTAGCGGGTTTGGGTGGGTTTCGACGCTATCGAAGTAGCGCTGAGACATCTTGAAGTATTCGGAGATAGAGGGGATTTGACAATAATTGCGCAAATCGGAGTAAAGTTTAAAAAAAAGTAGTTTTTTGGAGTTTCAAAGCGAGACTATTCTTATTGTAATCGAATACACAGAGTGCCGTATCAACGGCGAAAAAAGCGGTGTTCACCACTGGGTCTTTTGAAATATCACTCGTGAAGAGTGTGAAGAGGAGTGGAGATGGGATCCCGGCCCTTATGGACTATTTCGTGGAACGTTCCATACAAATTTGAACATCCTCTGACCCCTGTATAAGGTTCTTTTGAAAAATCGCTAATTCCGAATTAATTTATTTAATTTACAGAATACCTTTAGCAAGTATCTAGTCAAACGCCCCATTAAATAAAAAGTATCATACTAACTGTGACACCCTATTTCATCCCTCGGAGATGGAATTTTCCAAAATTCTTTCTCAGTGGATGCGTACGTTATAAACAACTACCGTCCAAATTTCAGATTTCTACGTCCAGCGGTTTAGGTTGTGCTTTATTAAATGAATCACTCAGGACAGTATCTGTTATATATTATAATATACAGATAATGTTGTCAAACGAGTACACAGTTCACCCGACGACAAGTGGATGCTGTGGAGCTTGGGTTGCTAGATTGATTCAGACATACACTATGAGTCATTCCATCATAGTCCTCACAAACTTTTAATTACAAGTTGGCTGCAGGAGTAGTCACTTACCATCAAACTAACTGTTACTTTGCTGTTCTTATGATCAAAAAGTAAAAAGCGTGGCAACTGTGGCACATAGGCATGGCAATCTGTGGCGAAGGCCTATGTTTAACAGTAAGCTGTTGATTGGCTGTAGTGACCATGATGATGATATTACCAGTAAGAAATTGGCTCAAAATTACTAAGCTACCTAATAACATTCCAGTGTTCCCGCTCTACGTTAGAATTAAATGTAAAAGTCAGTAAATAATAAAGATTATAATTACCTCAATATAATGTGCGCTGGCTAAAGTCGATCCCTGTTGATTATTCGACAAATTCCGTCCATTGGTTTGTGAGGAAAGACTGACGACGGGCACACTTCCACCTGCACTTGTCGTAATTGGAGCTGCTGAACCAGCCAACATCCGCAATTGCTGAGGGGGTATCTGAGCTGGGAATGTATGAGAGCTCAGCATTCTGATCTTCTGAGTCTCTCCATATAAATCCACGAAGGCCCAAAGCCTTTGAGTATGGTCTACGTGCATATCAGTAACAGGATCGGACCAATTCTTGCTCACGCGCACTTCACCGTCCACAGTTAGTGTTACTGCCAACTCGTCTCCTCTTTGAAGACCGTTGGCAACGTGTCTCCTAATAACCCAGTATTCAGGGCGGTCCAGTAACTTTTCAGCGTCATCTGGCAAGTCGCAGGGTCCTAGGGTAGCTGGATCGCATGACGTCAGACCTATGGCTAGACTCCCAGCAAATTCGGAATCGGTCGCTAAGATCTGGACCACGATCGTTTGTCCGGGATGAATCGGACGCGCTGTGAAAACGTATCCCTGACAGAATTCATTTTCTATCCTGGCTGCTACGCCCTTTTCGTTCACGAAATGAACATTCCTTCCTTTGGTCCAGTGTAAGCTGAGTGGAGCTAATGGGTTTTGGTATCTCGGTGGAGGTAACTCTTCTTCTACGCTTAGAGATCGCATCCCACCGATGGGTATGTCATCATCTACTAACGGACTTTGCGTGGACCTTCTCATATGATTCGGTGCTCTTGGATCTAGGAATTGGACAGCCGTACATTTGCCATATAAGTCTATTAACGCCCATAGAGAACTCGTTGTATCCACTCCAGAGAAGAACAGTCCCTTATCTTCTCCGTTTATTCCGAAAATAACGTCTCCCACAGAATTTACATAGTAAGAGAGTATATTATCTTCCTCGCAGTATTGTTCATCCAACTCCTTGGCCCAGCTGCCGGCTTTGTCGGTGAGATTTGGACAAGCGGTTCTGAGTAACTCGCGAGCTAATGTCGAGGGGTCGTGGTTGGTGAATCCGAAACGAATAACGCCAAGCCATAAGTCGGAGATTTCGATGAAACGTACGCACACCTGCAATGAAAATTAGAACACTATATACTATTAACTCTGTAATATTACACTTGAACAACCTAGTCAAGTTGCGGGAGCTGCCGAGAGCTTTTTAAAAACTAATTAAAACTACGTGTTCACAGAGTGAGATGTGAATTTATTCTGACCATTGTCTTTTTTACAATTCTTAATCCTAAGCTTACAGTCTACTTAAATTACTACATACTCAGCGTTTATGTATTTATGCTGATGGACGCTTTATACGTATTATGGGTGGTGCTGATGTAACCATAACTCCTCCCTCCTCAACTGCAAAGTTATCGGCAAGATTTGGATTCCGATGACTTTGCATACAGTGTAAGCTTAGACTTATTTTTCCAAATTACAATAAGAAGGATAATTAAAACTAATATAACATAGAGTAGTACAGCAGCTAAACTAACACTTTTCTTATTCACTAAGATTTCACTTTCACTTTCCACTATTTCACTTTTCAGTTTGTACGAGAGATATTTTAGTTCATCCAAATTAACGCGATTTAAATTCACTGTTTTTTCGTCATTTGTGGGCTGCTCTACCAATTTCGGTAAAGTTAAAATAGGTGTCACCTTATATTGCAGTTTTCCTGAATAGTATCGTTTCCGGTGTAATTTAATATTGCCTAATTTTATCTCACAGTTTTCATCGATTTCCAAGAGGTAAGTGCCCTTTACAGCATTCCTTTGAGTGTCATCGCCACACGTTTTTGTAAGCACTATTTCATTTTGTGTAAATAGGATCCAGTTAATAGGACCAATAGACTGTATCTTAACACTTTCCAGCTCTACTATTGATAGTTTACAAAGGCTTAGATTTGATGCGAAGTTCATAAGTTGTTCTATGCATGTGTTTTCAGGATACTGCACGATATCATTTTCCTCACACAGGAACTGGTTTGCTGCTATCTCCTGACATGGGCCATTTAAGGGTAAGTACGTGTGATCTTTCACCATGAGGTAAGGATATTTGGGAAAAATAACAGTTGTTCTATTATAGGTGGGATCAAACATAGGTAAAGCATACATTTTAAAATAAGTGTATGTAATATTATCATTCAGAGGGATTTCCATAATGAACGTTATTTGGTTTTCTTTCACATAGGCCTTAACAGACATTGATCTTTCTAAATTAACTAAATTGTTTTCAGTAATAGGATACAATAAACTACTTGTTTGAGATATAGATTCTAATATAACTAATAATTCAGTGGAATTAACAATGGCTTGATGTAGAACGTGCAGTTTTAGTAAAAGCTAATGCCGTTTCAATTTCGCTTAAAATTAAGTATACAGTTCTAAAATTATTGACAAACATGTTAAACATACTTAAAACATATGTGGAGTATATGCTGTTATCGTCTTTAGTAATTATATATTTTACAATTCTTTCTATACGTTTCATTCGTTCATTTATAATATTCATATTTTCCTGAAGAGATCCAGTACTATTTATAAGAGAGTCAAGCATCTCCGAGATTATTGTTATTTTCTTATTAGTGTGCGTTTGCTGGGTCTTTAATTGAGATATGAGATTGTCGTATTCTACTGCATCATTGTGGTCTAAGTTTCCTGTAAGCGCTTTGATAACAGAACCTAATGGATTAATAAGACCGCGCTTGAAACGTATCGCAGGTATGAGTTGTTTAAACTTTTCTACAGCTAAGTTACTTAAATAATTTACTTGTGTGTTCATATTTTGGAACTCATTTACGTATGGCTTATGGATATCTATTAAACTGCTAAATTCTTTATATTTATTGATATTAAAATTTAAATCATCTTTTATGCTACTAAAGTCTAATTGCTTAACTATAACCCACTTATTTACTTCCTTGTATGCGTGTCCTTGCTTTACGGGTAACATGCCTGGATTATGCTCAACCTTTAGAAGTTGCAGGCCCTGAGTCTGGATCATCAGATTCGATTCGAATCTTCTTCTTCACGAAGATCGCCAACAACCTGTGGAGGGCGTTTCACATTTTTGAGGTGCACTTTAGTTTTTCTTTTCCCTATCATTACAGGTATTATGTTTCTTTCAATATCCCCTTGCACTTTCGCCTTTTGATACCAAGGCTTATCCTTACTTTTTCTTATGTTAATATCTTTAATAAAAACCGTATCGCCTTCTTTAAAATCAATTCCAATTTTCCCGCTTTTCTTTTTCCTAACCTTTTCTTTATCTGTATGGACTTTTTCGGAAATATACCTATATAAGTATTTGGTTCGTCTCGCGTGGTCTTTAACGAGTTGCTGTGTATATGCCTTTTCAAAATCTACGTCGAATATTTTACCAGAATCGGTATGACCAAATGCTACTTCAAAGGGTGTTAATCCTGTCGTTGAATGAATAGTATGATTATATGCCATGACTGAATATGTCATGACAGATGCAGCGTCTGTGCATTTTTGCTCATAATTTGCAAGTCTGTATATTTCAATTATAGTAGAATGAAATCTTTCGATAATGCCTGTCGAATTGGGGTTATTGGGAGTTGTGATATGAGTTTCTATTTTATACATAGATAGGAGCTGACGCATAAGTTCGTTATTAAATTCAGTGCCTGGATCAGATGATATTTTCTTAGGAATTCCGTACATAGAAAAATATTTAATTAATGCTCGTGCTACTTCAGCGGTTTGTCGACTTGCAATCTCTAAGGCCTGCCCTAATTTACTAAAAGCATCCACAACGGTTAAATAATACTTCTTCTCAATGGTAAATAAATCTATAAATAGTTCCTGAAAAGGCGCATCCTGAGTTGATGTGAGTTGTAGTACAGGTTTTATTGGTTTCCTATCGTACTTCATTAATCTGCAAGGTTCACAAGCATTTATAACGGCAGCTACAGTGTCTTGCATATTTTCCCAATAATAGTTTCTGCGTATTCTTATAATAGTTTCTTTCACACCGCGATGACATGTTTTTCCTTCATGGTGTTTGAGAATGACAGCTTTTTGTTCTTTTTCATCCTCCACATATACTACGCGTTCTGTACATTCAAAGAATTTTACTGCATCCTTCTTAAAGAGTTCTATAATAACTTTTGTAAATAATTTCCTGTGCTCAGCATTCTCGAAATAAATAAAGTATCGACTCTTAAATTTTATATATTCCTTTAAAAATTGTTTTATTAATTCTTCGTTTTCTAGTGGGAGAAATACCTCTAATACTTTTTGTTTTGCTCTAGATAAATTTCTGACTTGTAGTTTATTTTGGAACCAAGAAAATACTAGGATCTGATTTGGTTTGGTATCTATTGCCTCGCTCAAAATTGGGATTGCTTTTGACTCAAGTTCAATATTTGAGTGTATCGTGTCTGTTCTACTACTGTTAGTTACCGATGGTACAGGGTAATTTTCTTCGAACAATTCTTCATGTTCTGTCACACTCGAGTCTGAGTCTGAAATTATCACTGTCTCTGGTTGGGGCTCAGGTCTGTATTTTTCTAGTTCTTTCAGTTGGCGTATTACTTTTTGTATCTCATCGTCATCCACATTAACATCCATTGATGCGTCGTCTAAAGCATTAAGTTTTATGCGAGACAAGGCATCAGCATTGGTATTTTGTTTGCCGTTTTTATAGATTATTGTAAAATCGTATTCTTGAAGACGCAAACGCCAGCGTGTTAGTTTGCTGTTAGGCTCTTTAAGAGAATGGAGCCAAGCAAGGGGTCTATGGTCTGTATAAATTTGAAATTTCTGTCCGTAAAAGTAGGGCCTAAAATGCTTTACAGCCCAAATGATGGCTAAAAGTTCCCGCTCTATTGTGCTGTATCGCGATTCGGTGTCACTAAGTGTGCGGCTGGCATATGCAATAGGCTTATCCGACCCTATTGGTCCCTGTGACAGTACTGCGCCAAGAGCTACATTTGAAGCGTCGGTAGTTAATATGTATGGTTTAGTCGGATCCGGGTATTGTAGTAGTAGGACACTGGTCAATATTTCTTTACATTTATGAAAGGCATCTATATAATTTTGGTCTGAAATTATCTTATTTCTTTTCTTTAAACACGCCGTTAAGGGCTGCGTGATTTTCGCGAAGTCCTTTATAAATTTTCTATAGTATCCAACCAGCCCAAGGAAACTTTTGATTTCGGTGGTTGTCTTAGGAAGAGGATAGTTCTGTATTACTTTAATTTTGTCATCGTTTGGTCGCAGTCCGTCTTTAGTTATGGTGTGTCCAAGATATAAAACTTCTTTTCGGAAAAATTCGGATTTGTCTAATTGTATTTTCATGTTAGTCTTTCGAAAGCGGTCAAAAACTGTATGGAGTTTCTCCATGTGTTCTTGTAGACTAGCGGAAAAGATAATAACGTCGTCTAGGTACACAAGGCAATGGATTCCTTGCAAACCTCTTAAGACGTTATTCATAGCCCTTTGAAAGTTGGCGGGGGCAGTCTTTAGGCCAAATGGCATCCTCAGGAACTCATAGTGTCTATTTTGGGTGCTGAAGGCAGTTTTCTGTCGGTCATCTTCATTGAGTTCAATTTGGTGGTAGCCGCTTGCCAGGTCGAGTGTCGAAAAGTATGTGCTCTTACCTAGCTTATCGAAAAGGTCTGCGATATTTGGAAGGGGGTACTTATCATCAACTGTAATTTCATTTAGCCTTCTGTAATCTATGACCATTCTGTATTTAACTTCGCCCGAAGCATCAGCCTTTTTCGGGACAAGATGTACGGGAGAATTCCATGGGGAGAAAGATTCCTGAATTACATTATCTAATAGAAGTTTATTGACTTGCTTGTTCATCTCTGTTACTTGTGCGGGGGGCTTGTCTGTAAGGTTTTGTGAATATAGGGTCCTCGTTTTTAGTCCGAATGAAGTGTTTAACCTGATTACTAAAACTCAAAGGTATCTGTTCACAATAAAATATATCCTTGTATTCCTCACATAGTTTACGAATGCTCTGTCTTTCCTCTTCATTCATATGGTTTAGGCGTAACTTGTTTAAATTTTCAAGCAATAACTGGTCCGTTTCTAGATCAGAGTGATCTGTAGAATTAACATACGATTTATCATCCACACATTCACAAATTTCAAAAGATTTCTTAATAGATAATTCCATTTGTTGATCCAACGTATTTTGTATAATTGTAGTGGCATATCCATTCTCACATTTTACCAAAGCAGAAGGCTTGCGCACTCCATCACAGAATCGGGTATAATTTAATACTCCTTCGTCATAAAACATGTTAGCAGGTAATTTTGCTCTAACTTCAGAACGTGGTGGAAGTATTACAACATAATCTAAGCTATTGTGTATTATAGGTATTCTAGAAGAATTTGTGGTAAGTACTTGTTTTCTTAAATTTACGCGAACACTACACATTGAATAAAACTAAATTTACGGATTTTATCGCGTTTATTTCACTACTTTTACTTATTTTTAATTCCCGACGTTTCGGGTGCTTTACAGCAACCATGGTCACGGGGGGGACTGAGATGTTTGACGTCCCAATGTCATAGTTAGTCCGGCTACCTTCAGTTTTTGAATATTAATTTTTGGTCCGATTTATGCAAAACGAGCTTATAGTATCATGAAGTCTTGCAGTGGTATGCTTAGGTTTGGGTTTAATTTTGTTAATTATAGGATCCCAAGCAGGTGGCAGCACCCATCCATCTTCTCTATTGAAATTTGGATGTTTTTTAATTTCAATAGCCTCGCGTATCATCCTTGGTAGGAATCGGTGTTCTTTTGCGAGAATTTGTGGTTTATCAAAACGAATGTAATGGTGGGGACGATCTTGAACATGATCGCAGACTGCAGACTTCCCGGAGCGTCGGTGCTTCACGTCAGCTATATGTTCTTTCACGCGGGTTTTTATGGATCTTTTTGTTTGACCTATGTAAGAGAGACCACATTCACAATCTAACTTGTACACTCCTGCATCTTGTAGAGGGATATTACACTTGACGGATGGTAAAAATTGACTAATCTTCTTCGGCGGCTTGTAGTATGTTTTAATAGAAGCTCGCTTCAAGATGTAGCCAACCTTGTCTGTGACTCCTCTGACATATGGTAGTACAGCAGGTACACGCTCGACTGTGGCCGGCTTCACTCGGTCACTGTGACGTAGGCGCGGGACCCGAAGCTTGTTGTCTTGCAATACTTGCTTGACGTGCTGAAGTTCGGCGGCCAGATGTTTTCTGTCACAGATCCCTCGTGCTCTCTGAAACAAAGATTTACCCACGGTAGCTAACTGTGAAGGATGATGGTGAGATTCACCATTTAAATATCGGTTGGTATGGGTCTTTTTTCTATACACAGTGTGACCAATTGTGTTATTAGGATTTCGAATGACTAAAACATCTAAGAAAGCTAAAGAATTATTTGCCTCTAACTCCATTGTGAATTGTATTTTAGAGTTTATAGAGTTAAGGTGGTTTAAAAATGCAGTTACTTTGTCAGATGGTAAAATTGTGAAAGTGTCGTCTACGTACCGCTTGTAGAATCTTGGATTTACAGGAGCAGTAAGAAGGGCTTTCTCCTCGAAGTCCTCCATGAATATGTCAGCGACTATGGGAGATACAGGTGAGCCCATCGCCACACCATCTACTTGCTTGTAGAACTCTTCCTTCCACAATAGATAGCCAGATGTGAGGCAGTGTTTGAGTAATACTGCATATTCAGCAGGCATGTTATTATATTCTAGCTTCCTAGTTACAATTGATATGCAGTCTTCAATAGGTAGGCATGTGAATAGTGACTGAACATCAAAACTGACCATAGTTTCATTGTCAGCGAGATGTAGGTCTTTTATCTCACTAACAAAATGGTATGAATCCTTTGTGTGTGCTCTGGTATGTCCTCTCAGTGGTGACAGTACTTTTGCCAAGTGTTGTGCCAGCTTATAAGTTGGTGAATCGATCTGGCTCACTATAGGACGTAGTGGAGCGTTTGGTTTGTGTATCTTTGGTAACCCATACAACCTCGGTGGTTTGGTACATGATGGTATTAGCGAATTCACGTCGAGATTTAATTTTTCGGAGTGTTTCTTTATTAAATCGCTAGTTGCTTTAAGCGTGTTAGTTGTGGGGTCTGTTTTGACCTTTTTGTATGTACTTTCGTCCGATAAAAGCTGTAGTATTTTAAAATTATACTCTGACGTGTCCATTATTACCGTAGCATTTCCTTTATCCGCGCGGAGAATCGTTAGATCTGGTCTGTTCCGTAAGTTAATCAACGCTGTAAATTCGTCTTTAGGAAGGTTTGGTTTCGGCACTGAACTACGACGTAACAAGGACGAAATATCTTGACGTATAGCCTCCAAATCTTCCTTACCAATATTATTTTTAAACAGACAATCCTCAACGCTGCAGATAATTTCTTCGTACGGGATTTTTTTTCGCGGTGTTAATGCGAAATTCATTCCCTTCGCTAACACCTTTATTGTAGGTTCGTCCAATGTATGTTTTGACAGATTATAGACCGTGCGTTGTTTATTGTTTGCGTCTGTGGTCAACGGTTGTGTTTCGTTCTGACGTTGACTTGGCATTTGATTTGATCGTTAATTTTTGGTATTTTTCTATTTGTTTATTTTTGCATTCATTGTATTTTGCTGTTTCTCGTTTGTTTAAAGTTTCGATGCAATTATTAAAATCAAATGTCGTTAAAACTGTCTTTAGTTCACTGAACAAATTGTCTATAGTGTTGTTTATGAAATGTAAATCGAACCGTTTCTGCTGAATCACCGTTCGTAACAACTTTTTACTTGCCTGAATTAAGATCTTTGTGCTTCCTCGAATGTCCTTTTTTGTTGATATTTTGACACACGTAGGAATGAGATTATGGTCTCTACATCTCTTCAAGAAATTTAAAGATGTTATATATCTTGCGCGCTTGGTTTTAAGATCTTCTAATCGGCGAATTTTATTTGCTATTACCAGTCCGTACTGGTTGACATAATGATTTCTTAAATTTACGCGAACACTACACATTGAATAAAACTAAATATACGGATTTTATCGCGTTTATTTCACTACTTTTACTTATTTTAAATTATAAAACAAAAAGATCCATAAAAACCCGCGTGAAAGAACATATAGCTGACGTGAAGCACCGACGCTCCGGGAAGTCTGCAGTCTGCGATCATGTTCAAGATCGTCCCCACCATTACATTCGTTTTGATAAACCACAAATTCTCGCAAAAGAACACCGATTCCTACCAAGGATGATACGCGAGGCTATTGAAATTAAAAAAACATCCAAATTTCAATAGAGAAGATGGATGGGTGCTGCCACCTGCTTGGGATCCTATAATTAACAAAATTAAACCCAAACCTAAGCATACCACTGCAAAACTTCATGATACTATAAGCTCGTTTTGCATAAATCGGACCAAAAATTAATATTCAAAAACTGAAGGTAGCCGGACTAACTATGACATTGGGACGTCAAACATCTCAGTCCCCCCGTGACCATGGTTGATGTAAAGCACCCGAAACGTCGGGAATTAAAAATAAGTAAAAGTAGTGAAATAAACGCGATAAAATCCGTAAATTTAGTTTTATTCAAAGTACTTGTTTCTTTAAATCTATTACAGCTTCCAACTGCTTTAATAAATCATTCCGAATTAACCCATCATAACGTGCATCGACATTATAAAGATAAAATTTATGTTCGTCATTACTTTTAAATATAGAATATAGTGGAATTTTAATTACCTGATCGTGTTTGCTAGATGCATGAGTGCTTATAACTTCAAAGGGTTCATTTGTTATATAATTACGGTAGTATTGGTATGCTTTATCCGGGCTTATAAAAGAACGGGTGCTTCCTGCGTCTATCTTAAAATTAGCATCTATTTCCGGTATATATATGTATGGTAGTTTTAGATTTATGTCGCAATTTAATTCTATTATTTCGGGTGGTTTTCGGAGGCTTTTACTTGAAAATTTTCAGTCTGTGCAGACATGTCATTATCCTCTGAATCATTGTTTTCGTCGACCTCTATTATAGAATTTTCTTGTACGGATTCATCTTCATAATAATTGTCGTATGTTTCCTCATACATGTAATTTTCAGGAAAATCGTAGGGATAGTATGATGGATAGATTTCTAATTCATTTAGACGGAAACCTGGCTTTGGAGGGGCAGATCTCATAGAAACATCGGTATCATTAGAAACTGGCTTATTATGCACATTATTATTACTAGGATAATTAAAACGCTGAGAATTACCAAACTGTTGTGGTAACATTGGTTGCATGGGGCTATAGCCCTGGGGTCTAAATCCAAAGTTTGGTCGGTATCCAAAATTAGGTCGGTATCCAAACTGAGGTGGGTGATATTGCTTAGGGAAACTCATTTGCTGTTGAGGCATATTTTGTGGTAAGGGAATCTTCATTTGTCTACTATGGGGAATGCCAAACTTAACTGAGGTGGTGTTCCGAAATTCTGCCTAGGAGGTTGGTTTGGTGCTAACATTGGTCTAAAACCTGTAGGCTGTGTTGGCATTGCGAATTTAAACGATGGTTGTTGTACTGGTATACTACTAGACTGTGACTTAGACATATGGCTAGACTGTAACATTTTACTACGCATCTGATATTGGTCATAGAAGTTTACTTCTTCTAGAACTATACTTAGTGCTTCCTCTAGTGTACTGGGTGTTTTCAACCTAACAATGCTCACCATATTTTCAGGTAAATTATATAAGAAAACCTGCAGAGCGGTGTTATTATAAATAATAGTTTTACTTATTTTTAAGTTTTTATCACCAATTTGATTAACCTTCATAATAGCACTGATTTAACGGATTGTATACGACCACAAAAATCTATATAATTCTCATTTTCATGTTTCTTTAAAGTTTCTAATTCAATGGCTAAACATTCTTCGCTACGTGGGTCGCCGAAGCGAGTTAAAAACAATTCCTTGAATTCCGCCCACGTCTCTAATCTTCCCGTTCACTGATAAGCGACGCGGCCTCGCCCGTAAGACGACTAGTAATGATTTGCATTATATATTCATTTTTCACATCGGATGATTTAAAGTTATTTATTATGTATTCACATTTACGCAAAAATAAATTTAAATGGCGTTTATCGCCGCTAAATGTTGGTATTATTTTAGTTAATTCATTAGGGATGAGTTTAATTTCCGACATTTTTAATTATTTATTCACTGGTTCTACACAAAAATAAGAAATAAAATAAAATATTTATTATAACTCTACTAGTTCCACAAATGTTGTATAAGCAAAATTCAAGTATAAGTACTAACCTATTACGTATTAACGTGTCGAGTAATCTTTAAATTAACAAACACATTTAGACACAATAAGAACTTAATATAATGTACTATAATACTTAATATAATATTACTCTATAATTTCATTGAGTAATATGGGACTTAATAATATCGCTGCTTTGCACGAATAACCTCACAATCCAAAAACACACATTTTACAGGGTAGCTATTTGAAAATTAAACAAAATATTATCTGTCATAACTTTTCATGTTTTTAATCATTAGAAGAGTAGAATATATAAATCGAAAGTATATTAATCAAGGTTTGATTAAAATCTAAAAATTCAGGTTTTGAGCTGCGAATACCTTAATTAATAATTAAAAACTATGACTTATTCGACTTGTTACAAAATGAGTTTTGGTATATTATCATGAATATGAACATAAATCAAAATAATACATATGAATAGTTCTCAATTTTAGTTTTACAATGGCATAACTGGTAATATGATCTACAAGATATTAAAAAAAATCTGTAATAATGACACAATTACGATAAAGATAATATTAATGAAAAGTGTGTTCAAACACAAATCAATTTATTTGTTTTATGCTGAAGCCTTCGGAACGATTTTTTCTGTAGAGTAACACATTTCTGTTTATCATATTTAGAGATTAAACAAACCTGTAGAAAAGTATTTTTATTATTATTTATTTATTATTTATTATTATTATAGTCCACATTTTATAACAATTTGCAGTATGTCTATTACTGTCATCAAGCTACCAGTACGCAGATTAAAATGATCACGTTAACATTAAAATATTAGGAATCACAAACATAAAAGAAATCGAACCAACAATACCTATCTATTACGTTTCTTAAAAGTAATTAGGAAAAATAACATTATGAACCATGAACATAAATAAAATTCTAACAAAGTTTTGCTTTTTAAAACTATTTAGGAACATTATGAACCATAAACATAAAAAAAATCAACGAACTAAAAATAATTAGGAACATGATGAACCATGCTTAAACATAAAAAAATAACAAACTTGTGCTTATTTTAAAAATAATTCGGTTAATTAAAAACAATAAACAAAAAAATCTATCAAACATTGGACAACTACCGCATAATCAGTCTTCTTCAGGTACACTTAATAATAAAAATTAGAGATTCTCAAAAAACGGTTTATAAAATCTTGGTACAATATTTTTCCTAATAAGGTCTAGCAAACCCTTCTTCTTCTTCTCACATATTGGGATTTTTTCTCCGTATGCCTTTTTAACAGTGATATTATTGGCAGTGTTTCTTGTCTTACCAATTTTATCTATCATGACTGTTTTAAACTCTGTGTCCTCGTACGATGTTTTATAGGAAAAACAGTAATTAGAGTCATTAGATTCCACCTTTAAAATTTTGACGTCTCCTAGCTTTAACGTTTCTTTGTCCATATTCTTAGAAAAATTTTTGCCTATCGATGAAGCCAACGCCCTTATATCAAAAAATTCTTCGTGTATTAATTCATTTACTTGATAGGCTTTACCAGATTTTTTAGCATTTCTTATAATGTGCACATACTGGTCAGGTGTATATATGGGTCCAGACTTTAGAGCTTTACCTACTCCTCTTTCAATAAGGGAGTGGACATTATCACCCTCATTTTGAGTGTGCCCTTTTATTAAATATTTGTGGGTAGAATAAACTCGTTTGTGTAAACTGCATATACATAAAGAGCTATTATGTACTGGTTCTTTTGCTGGCCACAGCAATTGTCGGAATAAAAAACTATATCTAATTTTGAGTCTAGTTCTTCAGCTTTAAACTTTAAATTTTGTATGTATTTAAGCAAACAAGATCCTATTTCTATAGCACCGCGTTTAGCTTCACCTTCATACCAGACATAACATGCAGTGTCTTTAGATTTGATATCGCATATTGTGAAATTATACGTATTTAATTTTGATACGTAATAAAAGTTTGATGCATCTCCTCTAGGACAAGGCATTGCAGCCTGAAGATCATAAACTGCTACAATACAATTATCAGGAGTAAATTTTTTGTCATCTTCTTTATTTTGCCTTGACAAATCCTTCTCTTTTAAATGCCTATCAAACTTTTCTTTCAGTTCTACCTTATCGTTTTCTGTGGCATTACTGTATGATGTACAATCCTCACACTGATCTTTTTTTGGTTGGAAAAAGCTAATGTTGAACTCGTTGTTGAAGATCCTGTAATACATAAGGTTATTGGCGCTTGGTAGACTTTTTTGACTTACAGTCGAGTTCGTAATCTCTATGTAAGTCTGCTACAGTTTTCCCACCATCAATATAAAGCCTTTTTGTGTCTGCACGACAGTAGTGACTTTCAATTTTTGGAATTGAGTTGATGTGTTGAATTACACTTTCTTTAATAGCCGGATCTAAATGGAAATGTTGACTGTGTTTGCCACGATTATCCAAATCAAACATGCCACATGAATTCTGCTTCTTTTGAATAACAGTTCGGATAAAGGCATCGGTTATATCTAGCGTAGCTTTAAAAATACTTTACACACTCGAATTCTCTCATTATCAATGGTCAAATAAAAAGCGTTGTTTTTCCCTCGGTTACTGTTATGCATCTTGTATGAGTATCGTGGTTGAATGACGGAAAGATGGCATAAAATAAACTCCCGTTGCCTTTGCAGATCTCCCATGCCCCAAAAGCTTTCAAAAATTTCTTTGCGCTGTGATTCTGTAATGTTTTGTGTACATTTTTGTTTGCATTTATCAGTACACGGTGTTTTGAGAGACTTTGCAGGCACAACGGTTTTTCCCTTTTTTAGAATTGGATATTATAGGATTTACCAGAGTTTCTTAGGATTTTTTGCCTTGTTACGCAACCAGTTATTGGGTGTAGATTTTCTTTTCCGTCCTTTATTTGAGCTGATATTATCGTTACAACCAAGATATGTAGAATTGGTATCAACAGTAAGTTCTAAAGAAGTTGGAGGTGTATAACGTGAAGTTGAAGCTTCTGGCTCAATCGAATCATTGCGAGAAATATCTTCTTCGATGCTGGTAGCTCTTGTACGAAATATGTTATTGTCTACCCTAGACTGAACCACTGCTGTTAAACGTTCATTATTCAATTGATCGTCTGATGAACTCTCGGAATCTGAGGAACTAGATCCATCGCTTGAGCTGGATGAACCAGATCCATCGCTTGAGCTGCTACTAGATTCTGTTTGCATGGGGGCTATCGGCATAGGTATAGGTGAACTTGTTTGGTTTATGGTAGAAACATCGTTACTAAAATTGTCATATTGTTTTTCATTTAAATCTACTCCACTCAACAAATTTTTAAAAACTTCTCGGTTTTTATTTTTCAAAAGAGACCTCTTTGTAGAAAAGGGTGTATCGATTTCTACATAGTCAGGATCCTTCACACTATCATCTGAGCAAAAGTCTTCACTAGCATTAGATAAATCTTTATTTTCAATATTATCGTTAGGCTTGGGAGATAAAATGAACTGTTCCTTTTCAGTGAATTGTATGGAAGTTGAAGTCGTAGGTATTTCATTCTGTATAACAGATTTACTATCTTGTTTGAGATTCCGGATTATTTGTAGGGTACGGGGATTCGGCACTGTAAATAATAAGAACATTTCATAAAATAATGAACCACGCCATACTATGCCATGGCATGTCATGCCAGAACAACATCACAATACAACACACCACACCACTCCATACCACACCATGCTATGCCACACCATACCGTTCAGTCCTATCATACTACAACACAACACAACATAGCATCATGCCTGTAATACCCGAAGCCGGCTATGTTTTTTCTGCTGTTCATCGGTATAATTTCTAACGCCGAGTTGCTAAATTAAGAATGTTCTAAATAAGAAATGACGATTACTCCGTTTGCTGCTTGAACCAGGATTCGAACCCGGGACATCGCGGTTAAATAAGCCACGCAAGAGGCAGCAAAAAAACACCAAAACACGTTATAATTACATTATATCGTTAAAAGTAACTTAACTTGCTTTCGGTTCTAAATTGTTTAGCTTTATTTTTAAGCAATTATAACCTATTTCATAAACATGTTAAAAGATTTTGTTGTTTCTATCTTGAAGAAACAAATAAAACTTAATAAGTATTATTGTCTTACTTACTTTTTCGTGAAGAATGTTGTAGCACTAAATGCAGCACTTTTTAACAAAAAAATGATCGAAAACAGTTACAATTTTAACTTAAGTAATCAATCAACTCAAAATGAATGAATATTGCAGAAAATATTACTAAACTTTACAATTTAAACACACGATTATTTGGTAATGTGCTATTATTCCCGAAAGTTTTGATGTGGACACGCGAAAACAATAATAGCAACTGGCGATCGTCGACTGTTGCACAAATATGGCGTGATAAATCAACCAATCACATAACGACATTTTTACGCGCCACTACGTCAGTTTTGTCGTGATGAATGTGAGTCTTACTGACCATAAAATACGGACTATTTTGCAAGTGACTGTGTTATAAACCAGTATTTTCAATATTTTGGTTTGTGCGGTTATTCGTGCAAAGCAGCGATATGTACGTGTTACAATTAAATTATTATTATTTTAATTTTTATTCAAGTAATAATTATTTGTTGCACTTAATACTTTATAAAATTTACGTAAGATTAGTATTTGAAACCCAAATAACAGTCAAAATGGAAAATGTCTAATTCCAAGTTCACTAAGGGATATGAAGGAGGTGAAGAGTCGTACTCACCAGCCGGCAGTGCCCATCATCAGCTTCACGGCTCCTTATTCTCGACGAATTTGTTTGGTTCGCTGGATCACCACGCTGTATGAATCGCCCGCCGATGCGCGAAAATGGGTAAAATTGTATACGCGATATTCACGAACGGTGGCACAGCTTTTCCGGCGATCCTACCAGCTGCGCCAGTCAAGTTGTGGGAGCTGCCGAGAGCTTTTTAAAAACTAATTAAATTAAAACTAATTAAAACTACGTGTTCACAGAGTGAGATGTGAATTTATTCTGACCATTGTCTTTTTACAATTCTTAATCCTAAGCTTACAGTCTACTTAAATTACTACATACTCAGCGTTTATGTATTTATGTTGATGGACGCTTTATACGTATTATGGGTGGTGCTGGTGTAACCATAACTACCTTGTCAGTCAACTAGGCTATTTAAGTTCTATAGGTTTTCCTTTTACTTTAGACATTTACAATTTAGCTCAGGACTAAGCACTAGCCGTTAATTTCATAGTAAATGAGCGACCCGGGTTCGATCCCTGTGGGCACCAATGAAATTGTTAATTGCAACAACAAACATAAACCCCTCTCAGAAACTAGAGGAAGCACGTGCCTAGTAGTTGGACATGTATAAGCTGTAACTTTACTGTTGATAAGCAGTGATACAGAACACAGGTCCTGCTGAATACGTCCACTATGTGGCAGGAGTATTACCTGCCAGTAGTCTGTCTGGGTTGGAACCAACCCTCTCGTTGGTGCTGAGCTAGCAGTGCCGCTTGGCGCTCTGAAGGGTATAGAAAGCCAGTGTAATTACAGGTTGTAAGGCGTTCCTCATTCGCGACAACGCGTCTGTTACATTTTTTATTTTAATTTAGTTGCAAATATCCATTGGCTGCAGTAGCAACTTGTCTGGTGTACTGTACGTTCGTTCCTCACATCTATTTATTGAAGTAAAAAATTAAATTCAAATACGTGAAAGGCAAGTACTTTTTCTTTTTGAAGTGTAAACTTTTTTAGAATTATAGAATACTATAATACAGAATAGAATGGCTGTCAACCTTATTTTGTACGCGAATCAATGCAAGCAATTACGTCATATTATCACTACTACAAACCCAATTCGCTGTGTTGACAGACTGAGCGAATTTACACATTTTAGACTTTTGATTAATGTTCAAGATCAACATTAAAAAAATAAGTCGTTTAAATTTTAACACATATTTATTAGTAAATAGTGTGCAAACTAATGGTAAATACAATCGCAGTAAGTGTAATTTTTTTTCTTATTGTAAATAAAAAGTTGTTGAACACGTTTAAGATGCGTATCATCATATTAGTCTGTGCATTTAAGCAAACTGTAGTATATAATGTATACTGTAGTATATAATGTATACTGTAGTATATAATGTATACTGTAGTATATAATGTATACTGTAGTATATAATGTATACTGTAGTATATAATGTATACTTTAGTATATAATGTATACTGTAGTATATAATGTATACTGTAGTATATAATGTATACTGTAGTATATAATGTATACTGTAGTATATAATGTATACTGTAGTATATAATGTATATTATAGTATATAATGTATACTGTAGTATATAATGTATATTGTAGTATATAATATATACTGTAGTATATAATGTATACTGTAGTATATTATGTATACTGTAGTATATAATGTATACTGTAGGATATAATGTATACTGTAGTATATAATGTATACTGTAGTATATAATGGTATAACCGCTAGGGATGTGGTCTTGTTTAGTGACTTACCGGTAACCGGTAAGCACCGGTAAAACTTGAGTGTATTTATTTTTAAATATTTCAATAATATTTTTTGTTATTAATTTTGTACAATTTTATACTAAAGATAAATACTAAAGTATTCACTTTGTGCAAGTGCAATGAAAGAAAAGTTTTGTATGTTCTAAATACACGATACTTTGTAAATTTTTCGATTAAAAAATCAAAAATTTCACTTCAAAAAATATAAAACAAAAACATAATATGCAGCCAAAATGTATTAAAGATAGATAAATAGAGTTGTTCAGAATCATGTGTCTGAGAAATCCATACTTTACTATTATAATGTGAATATCTGTCTCAGGTTTTTATGGCTAAACCGTTGAATCCATTTTGATAAAACTGAGATAGTTTAATGCCTGGTTAAGTCAAAAAGTGATATCACAGCTAAGTAGGATGTAAAGACTACTTTAGTCGTTATTAACCACCAATTTGGATAAAAACTGTGAAATGGGTATAAAACTTTTAATAGTAAATGCTAAGCCATTCAACGGATTTTGAAGAGATTTGGTGTCCAGATAGCTGAATAGATTAGGTAATAATTAAAAAGGCTAGGTTACCTTTTATCCTCAAAGTTATAACGTGGTATGACTGAATTCGACGAGGATGAAAATGTATTCGTATACTTTAAATTTGTATTTCTTTATTATTTTATTATCTTTGAAACGTGTTGGCTAGTTAATCCACGTTAGTTAACATCCACAAATTGCAGTAGGTTACTAAGAATACAAAACTAAGAAAAAATAAATGTTGGTCTATTAAGAAGGTACTTACTTCCCTTAATAAATAAAACAGTATTTATGGAATAATAAAATTTATTCAAAATTATGGAATAGTAACATTTATAGCTTACTATATCTACTAAGCTTACTAGGCCGTAACAATTCAACCTATCCGTAAACATTAAACGATCGAGTGTATATATGTCTATTATTTATTCTTTAAGTCCGGATCTCCAGAAAAACTGCAAAAATTGTTTATGGCAATGAAAAATATCAAAAAATGTACCAATAGTAGTAAATAGTACAGTATTGGTAAGCCGACACAAGGCAAGTGCGAAATCGGATGAAAAGTATGAACATACATATTTTTTTACTTTTAACACAAAATGGGTCTACCCAACCCGTTGTGAGTAGTAAAGTATATGGTAATGAAGAAGATCAAATCTGAAAACTTTTAATTTTTAATTGCAAATTAATATTATTAATTATATTTATTATTATTTTTTTTTGATTGCAAATTTTTAATTTTATCTTATAGAGGGAATAAATTTACAATTTAATAAAAAAATTTTAAAATTGATTTTATTCGTATGTCATTAAATTAATATCTTTTTTTCGTATTTTATCGTATCTATTGAGCTTTTCATTAAGTTAAGTACAAATTTAAAAGCGACAATATTTTTCGGATTATCGGTAGGGGTAAAACTTTGTTACATCTCTAGTGCTTCCAATATCCATTGTTTTTGACACATCAATATTTCTTTATTGGTAACGTCAAAAGTAATATTAGTAGCTACACGGGCTCCGCCCACTCCCCGTTCTATTAAGTATATATACAACATGTAACATAATTACCGCACTTTGAGAAAGTAGTTTGTTCAGAATCGTTTACTGAATCGATTCCTATCATTTTTAATATAGGTAATTTTTTATCCAAAAAATAATTAAAACTACGTAAATTACAGTCACACTAAATCTGTACAGTTAAAACAAACTGAAATGGACCGTAACTTAAGGCAAGAAGACTTTTAAGAGTGCAGTTTTATTTGTATTATTACTAATTCTGTCATTCAATAAAAATAAAGAAAAATGAACTTTATTTCAAGCACGTTAAAGTCTTTGCGTTCGTGGATTTGTACTGTGACCACAACATTTTTCCGAAATTAGTATAATTTGATAAATAATCAGTGCATAAAAATGTTTAACTAAAAATTCAGTGTAGGTATGAATTATGATTATAACATAATATACTAATTGGGGTATCTGAGGGTGTGCGTTAATTACGTTACATATTATACATATATATATATCTCATATATATATATATATATATATATATATATATATATATATATATTTATATATATATATTATATATATATTATATATATATATATATATATATATATATATATATATATATATATAAATTATGTATTCAATCATAGAATACTTATAATACATATATACTTAATATTCTAAACATAGAATTTCTATGTTTAGAATAGTTGTGATTTGAAATGCGATGAAACGAAAGAGCGACAATAAAAAGAGACAAACATATACAACTATAAGATTTAGCCCGCGAGAGAATGAGATAGAATACAGTATAAATTGTTGCCTGTTTTTTTTATCTATCTATTATACGCTTCAGTTACCATAGTAAGCCACTCGTCATATGTTGAAATTGAAAATTTGGAGTCTGTATATGTAGAAAAAATGTCAAATAATTTTTAAACTTTGTAACAATATTCTAATAAACAAACCCTACAATTATCCTACTCCTGATACTCTGTGTTCGTCTCGTTCTCCCGAAGTTTAGTTTTCAAAAGGTTTCACTTCTGCCACGTGTGAACTGCACACTTGCTTTTATATTTGCCGTGTATTACAGTCTGTAACCGCAGATTTTAATTTTCCAGTTACCATCAGTAAGACGCTGCCATCTCCTGGTTTGTGTCCGCCTGACGCCTCCATCAACACCCGCGGCACGATACGGGGCAGTGGATGCTCTCACACTGTTACTACATGGTCAGAAAAAGACCACCAGGAAGGATATTCAATGAAAGTTTTGCGAAATACTCACTTTTTCATTAACCCTAACTGGCCTAGCGCTGAACGTGACTCCTTCGTTGTGCCATTCAACACGGCGCGCTTTGTTTTCCTCTCGCGAGATCCTTACGTTCTTTCCGTGCACCGTGTGGAAGCTGAGGGGCGGTAGATCGTTGGGCGTGCCACCAGTGCATGAGGTCCCGGGTGCTGGAACAAAGAGTCAAGGACTTTAATTACGTTCACATTTTAATATACTTAGGTCATAAGTTCTGACAAATTTTTTTTATAATATTAATAATACACTTTTTGATAATTGTATAGAAATTATATATGAAATGAAAGGTAATTTAATTTAGAATACAATTTTATTTACATTATTCAAAATGCCCTCCCGTATTTTGAATATATGCCCTTAATCGACGCGGCCAATCATCAATCGCAGCACGCACCACACTCATATCTATTTCTGCCGCTTTATCCAAAGATGCTCGGAGAAATTTCTAATTCTGATGATATATCGCAGACTTTCTCCTTCAAATGTTGCCATATCTTATAATCCAGTGGGCTTAAATCTGGACTAGAAGAGGGCCAGTCTTCATGTCCGATAAAGTCAATTTCATGGGCGGTCAACCGGTTTTGCGTGCTTCGTGCCCTATGAGCTGGTGCAGAGTCCTGTTGGAATATCCAATGTCTGTTTTTGAACATTGTTTGAGAAAGAAGTTCCACAATGTTTGTTAAGAAGGTATTTTGGTACACCTCGGCACTGGCTTTTACACCTTTTTCACAGAAAAACACCTCAGTTAAGCCTGTGTAATAGTGGAGACGAACTGTCCACTATTAACAGACTCCGAGTGGTTTTCTTTAAGGTGGAGAAATGAAACTACTGTTTATGTTTATGAATGTACTGTCGAATGGGATTCGGAATGGAATATATTTTGCATCAACCTTGCCTATATTTATATGGCTGGCTCACTATTGATTTGCCAATGGTAACAATTAATATTTTGCCTAGCCAATTATATTGCTTATTTTATGACCAATGAAAACTATTTAAAATATACAATTATCTACGTTTCGTTTCCCGGCGTGAGACTTGTTTGTTGTTCACGAAGCTACGTCGCTGGACCGGGCTATATAAGACATGCAGATCGGTGCGCACGCGTAGTCGGCGGGCGGCGGCGGTGTGGAATACAGCTCCGGAACAGCAAGAGGAAACGAACTGCGGCGTTGAAGAAACGGCTCACCATTGGTCGACGGATACGTGACGATAGCGGCGTGTGAAGTCGGTGTGGCGCTGAATGATATTTGCGGCTGCTTCTTGTTTCTTTATAAGAACGTCAAATTATCTATATACAGTCCGCAGTATCTCAGTAGCCAAGAATAATTAGGAAATAAAATGTTTTTTTTTATTTATTCTCGCCTTCCGCGTTATGTTAGCAGCGGAGTATATATTATTTATTCCCGTTTCGGTTTGATTAATCTGGCTGCTACATCACTCTCCCCCCAGCGAAAGCGTACCGGAGGCTTGACGACTCGCCCGTATTTCGTAGTTTTTAAAATAGGTTTCAACTGGGTTGATGTAGATGATGAAGTTTCAAGCTTCCTCGCTGGTGGTTTTGATGATGATGATGAATCCTCTGCAGTATCCTCGTTAATAATATAGGCAGGCTTTAGTCGGTCGATCGATATAATCGTAGATTTCCTTCCGGGTATTTGTAGTTTAAAAGTCTTGCTATTTCTCTCTAATACTTTATACGGTCCATCGTAGGTAGGTTGAAATTGTTTTTTCATTGCGTCGTTTCTTACAAAAACTTGTTTGCATGTTTTCAAATCTTGGTGAATGAATACTGATTTATTATTTCTGTGTGATTGCATTTCGGTGCATGTCAACGATAAGGCTTTGTTAATTGATTCTCGAAGTTTAGTTACGAAATCGTAATCCATTTCTTGTTTGTTTGACGCTGCTGAACTGAAGAAGTCACACTGCAGCCTTATGCTGCAGCCGTAGGTTAGCTGAGCGGCGCTAAGACTAGTTTCTGCACGCGGTGTTGATCGTAGTCCGAGTAGCACTGTAGGTAGCTCATCAATCCACTTTGTATGTTGAGATAAACGAGTTTTGAGTGCAGTCTTTAATGTACGATGCCATCGTTCGATTATTCCGTTTGACTGAGGATGGTATGCTGTTGTACGCGTCTTCTGTATTCCCATAGTTTGAAGAAGTTTGAGGAATAGGTTGCTTTCGAAATTCCTTCCTTGATCCGTTGTGATGGTTTTAGGTGATCCGAAACGAGTAATCCAATTTTCATAAATTATCTTCGCGACGGATTCGGCTGAAGTATCATCGGTAGGTATTGCTTCTGGCCATCTTGTTGTTCTGTCGATCATTGTTACGAGATAACGATGTCCTTGCGGTGAAGTAGGTAATGGTCCAACGATGTCAACGTGCAAGTGTTCGAATCTCTCCGTGGGTGGAAATGTAGCTAGACTACTTGATGTATGCCTTTGTACTTTGCATTTTTGGCATTGAATGCATTGCTTCGCCCAGTTGCCAACATCCGCTTGCATTGCAGGCCAAAAGAATTTTTCAGTGATGAGTTTTCTTGTTGTTCTAACACCTGGATGACTAATGTTGTGCAGTGCATTGAAGACTTCGCGACGACATTCTTCTGGTATGTATGGTCGCATGGTTGTCGTTGAGGCTTCACAGTATATAGGTAGATGCGTCATTGGCATTGTAACTTGCTTGATGGACAAGTTACCTTGCTTCGCTAGATGTTTTATGTTGTCACTATCTCTGTCTTGTGCTGCGGCGATCTTATGATAGTCGATTGATGTAGGGCACGTTACACTGTCGATTGGTACGCGACTGAGTGCGTCGGCAACTATGTTGTCCTTTCCACTGATGTGACGTATGTCGGTCGTGAATTCACTTATGAAAATAAGTTGTCTTGCTCTTCGTGGTGTTTCCGATAGTGATGGTTTCTTTGGAAGTACATATGTTAATGGTTTGTGGTCGGTAAAAACGATCAGGTTTCGACCCTCGAACGTTTTTCTGAAGTGCTTGATAGCCATGTAAATAGCGAGTAGCTCTCGGTCGAATGTACTGTAGTTACGTTGAGTATCGGAGAACTTCTTCGAAAAATATCCAAGTGGTTGCCATTTCCCATTGCTGTATTGTTGGAGAACTGCTCCTGCTGAGAGATCGGATGCGTCGCTGAAGATAGCAAGGGTTGCTTCGTGTGATGGGTGAGCGAGTAAAGCTGCATTTTGGATCGCAATTTTACAAGCTTCAAATGCCTTCGTGGCTTCATCGTTCCATTCGATTGACGTTTTATCTTTTTTCTTCGTGTTGTGAAGGTAGGCGTGAAGTGGTGCTTGGATTTCAGCGGCTTTAGGTATGTGTTCTCTGTAAAAATTTATCATCCCAAGAAAACGCCTTAGCTCTTCGATAGTTTTAGGTTTTGCATAATCGATGATTGCTCTGACTTTTTCGGCAGGCGGTTTTATTCCTTCCTTGCTGACGGTGAAACCAAGAAATTGAACTTCTTGCTGTCCAAATATGCATTTCGAAGGGTTGATTGTGATTCCGTTGTCTTCTAATCGCTGTAGCACGGTGCGTAGATGGGTTTCGTGCGTTTCTTTATCAGGGCTTGCAACAAGGAGATCATCAATAAATGCGAAAACGAAATCCAGTCCATGAAGTACTTCGTGTATGAATCTTTGGAAAGTTTGACCTCCGTTCTTTAATCCTGGGATCATTCTTGGGAATTCGAATAATCCCATTGGGGTAATTATTGCTGTCTTCTCTATGTCTTCATCGCGGACTCTTATTTGTTGGTAAGCTCGGTTGAGATCGATGGTGGAGAATATAGTCTTGTCTGATAGTTGATGAGTGAAATCCCTGACTCGCGGTATTGGGTAGCGGTCAGGAGTGGTAATAGAATTCAGTCTTCTGTAATCTCCACAAACTCGTAATTCTCCGTTCTTCTTCGGTACAATGTGAAGTGGTGATGACCAAGGGCTTTTGCTTGGACGGCATATTCCTTGCTCAATCATGTTTTCGAATTCCTTTCGAACTTGCTCGTATAGGTGTGGTGCGATTGGACGTGCACGACAATGAAGTGGTGGTCCATTGGTGTCGATGAAATGCTCAACGTCGTTCTTCGGTGTTAATTTCATTGAAGTTATTCTTGTGATACCAGGGTATTCTTCGAGGATCTTGTGATACGGTTGTTGCACATCTATGCTTCTTATTGTGGGCAGATTGGTTGCTTGTACAAAAGACTGAGATGCAAGATTGGTTTTCCCGTCGATGATTCTTCTATTTTTGATGTCGACGACCAACTGGTGATATTGAAGAAAATCAGCACCGATGATTGGTTTGCTGACTTTAGCGACGATAAATCTCCATTTGAATGGTCGGCGTAGATTAAAATCAAGTTCCATTGTTTTTTCTCCATATGTAGGAATAACCGTATTGTTTGCTGCATAGAGTTGAAAATCTAGTGGCTTCAACTTCTGTCCTTGCTTCGGCGGTAACACTGAGATATTTGCTCCGGTGTCGATAAGGAAAGTGAGCTTGCTTTTTTTATCGGTGACGAAAAGACGGTAGGACTTTGCTGTTACGCTGGATCCCGTCGCATCGAGCGTACTAGTTAGTTTTCCGTATTCGTATTTTCATTTTTGAATGTACACGGTGCTGTGCATTTTCTTGCCTCGATCCCGAAACGTCGATGATAGTAGCAGTAAGGGGATCTTGATGTTGAGCTTATTCGACTTCTACTTGCAGAGCGGTTGCGACGAAAAGGTGATCTTCGGTGTTGCTGATTGCGCTGGTTGTACTGTTGCTGGTAAAAGGTATGATGCTGGGAAGCTTTGAGCGCGGCGACTTCGAATGATAGCTTCCGAATTTCTTCGAGAAGAAACTGGGTATCATTAGCCTTTGTTGAAGTGCCTTCGATGATCGATATGTGTGAGCTACTGCTGTTTTCGATCACCTCGTCCGCCAGGAGTGCCAGTTCGTCGAGCTTCGTCTGCGTGCTGAATGTTTCGCTGACTGCTATTACCGATCGAATATGTGGTGGTAGGTGGTTTACCCACATTAGCCGTAGTGTTGAATCCGGAACTTTATCTCGCGCCAAAGTACGCATTTTGCGTAGGAGTTGTGTGGGTTTCTGGTCTCCAAGTTCTATTTCTGATAGAAGTTTCTGTAGCTGTCGACTGTCGGATTCTTCATATGCGGAGATCAGACGATCCTTCAGTGAATTATACTGGTCGACTGCTGGTGGGTTGTACAACAGGTCCGCAATTTGTTCGATGTCTTGTTTCTCAAGTTGGGCTATCACCATCTGTGCTAATTGCGCTTGGCTCTTCTTTAAACCATTCGTTGCGGCTTCAAAACTGACGAACCAAAGTCGTGGTTTGTCTCTCCAAAACGGTGGTATTCTTAACGATAGAGATATACCGGCGATTTCTGGTTCCTTTACCGGGTTTGATGTATATGTGTTTGCCTCCTGCTCCATAATGACGGCTTGATTACACTGATTTTATATAAACTGAAGTCTTCCTTCTCGGTGTTCGTACGGGTTTCCTTCGCGGTGTTCGTGCAATAGTAGTGGTACGTCGCAGGGTGTTCCTTCTTGGTGTTCGTACCGGATCTTCCCCCTCGGTGTTCGTACGGAGTCACCACTGTAATAGTGGAGACGAACTGTCCACTATTAACAGACTGTGGCCGTGGAAGGAAAATGGGAGATCTCCCGCCGGGCAAGGTGTTCTGCCCGGGGAGCGGCCAGCACTCCGAGTGATAATTCGGAGAAGTTCTATATATGCCGTTTATGATTCGGAATGTTGATAGTGTGATTTAAGCTTCGGTGTATTTCGCTTGTGGCGCGACGACAGCGCCGCTACATCACCCCCCTGCTCAGACCGGAGGTCGATAGTGCAGTCGAGTTGTCGACGAATGTGCAAGTGCCAGGAGATTGCCTTGTAGTCTGCGGTGAGTCGAGAAGAAGGCAAGTAATCTGCGAGAGTGCCGTGAAGCAGAGGCGAGCAGTAAGGCTCAGAGCCGTGCTGAACACTGTAGCGCAGAGTGTAGCTTGAAGGAACAGGAAGCATTATTATTCCAGTGCTGCGATGAACCTTGTGAAGCTAGATGGCTTGAATGACATGAAGACTGCAGACGATATCTGCTCGGGAGCGAATGGGTGGCGTATTCTATGACGATGATGAAGCTTGAAGTTTCCGAGGGTTGTTTGGTTGCCGTGTTCAGATCACGTCGGGGTCACCACTGTGGCCGTGGAAGGAAAATGGTAGATCTCCCGCCGGGCAAGGTGTTCTGCCCGGGGGAGCGGCCAGCACTCCGAGTGATAATTCGGAGAAGTTCTATATATGCCGTTTATGATTCGGAATGTTGATAGTGTGATTTAAGCTTCGGTGTATTTCGCTTGTGGCGCGACGACAGCGCCGCTACATCACCCCCCTGCTCAGACCGGAGGTCGATAGTGCAGTCGAGTTGTCGACGAATGTGCAAGTGCCAGGAGATTGCCTTGTAGTCTGCGGTGAGTCGAGAAGAAGGCAAGTAATCTGCGAGAGTGCCGTGAAGCAGAGGCGAGCAGTAAGGCTCAGAGCCGTGCTGAACACTGTAGCGCAGAGTGTAGCTTGAAGGAACAGGAAGCATTATTATTCCAGTGCTGCGATGAACCTTGTGAAGCTAGATGGCTTGAATGACATGAAGACTGCAGACGATATCTGCTCGGGAGCGAATGGGTGGCGTATTCTATGACGATGATGAAGCTTGAAGTTTCCGAAGGTTGTTTGGTTGCCGTGTTCAGATCACGTCGGGGTCACCACTGTGGCCGTGGAAGGAAAATGGTAGATCTCCCGCCGGGCAAGGTGTTCTGCCCGGGGAGCGGCCAGCACTCCGAGTGATAATTCGGAGAAGTTCTATATATGCCGTTTATGATTCGGAATGTTGATAGTGTGATTTAAGCTTCGGTGTATTTCGCTTGTGGCGCGACGACAGCGCCGCTACATCACCCCCCTGCTCAGACCGGAGGTCGATAGTGCAGTCGAGTTGTCGACGAATGTGCAAGTGCCAGGAGATTGCCTTGTAGTCTGCGGTGAGTCGAGAAGAAGGCAAGTAATCTGCGAGAGTGCCGTGAAGCAGAGGCGAGCAGTAAGGCTCAGAGCCGTGCTGAACACTGTAGCGCAGAGTGTAGCTTGAAGGAACAGGAAGCATTATTATTCCAGTGCTGCGATGAACCTTGTGAAGCTAGATGGCTTGAATGACATGAAGACTGCAGACGATATCTGCTCGGGAGCGAATGGGTGGCGTATTCTATGACGATGATGAAGCTTGAAGTTTCCGAAGGTTGTTTGGTTGCCGTGTTCAGATCACGTCGGGGTCACCACTGTAATAGTGGAGACGAACTGTCCACTATTAACAGACTCCGAGTGGTTTTCTTTAAGGTGGAGAAATGAAACTACTGTTTATGTTTATGAATGTACTGTCGAATGGGATTCGGAATGGAATATATTTTGCATCAACCTTGCCTATATTTATATGGCTGGCTCACTATTGATTTGCCAATGGTAACAATTAATATTTTGCCTAGCCAATTATATTGCTTATTTTATGACCAATGAAAACTATTTAAAATATACAATTATCTACGTTTCGTTTCCCGGCGTGAGACTTGTTTGTTGTTCACGAAGCTACGTCGCTGGACCGGGCTATATAAGACATGCAGATCGGTGCGCACGCGTAGTCGGCGGGCGGCGGCGGTGTGGAATACAGCTCCGGAACAGCAAGAGGAAACGAACTGCGGCGTTGAAGAAACGGCTCACCATTGGTCGACGGATACGTGACGATAGCGGCGTGTGAAGTCGGTGTGGCGCTGAATGATATTTGCGGCTGCTTCTTGTTTCTTTATAAGAACGTCAAATTATCTATATACAGTCCGCAGTATCTCAGTAGCCAAGAATAATTAGGAAATAAAATGTTTTTTTTTATTTATTCTCGCCTTCCGCGTTATGGTAGCAGCGGAGTATATATTATTTATTCCCGTTTCGGTTTGATTAATCTGGCTGCTACACCTGAATATGAGACTCCAAGCCAAACCATGAGTGACGAAGGATAATATGCTTATTGAACCCTCGGAATACGTGTGCTGACTTCTTCACTGCTGTGTGATATATACCTTATCATTTTCTTTATTATAACTTTCTTCGATGTTTAAAAAATTTTCATCCAAAAACAAAATTTCGCAGTATTTTTCCGCGCGTAACGCCGTATCAAAGTGCAGGATCAATTTTAGTATTGAAGACTGAAAGACAGTAGGTGTCTAGCGAAAACAAGGTCCAAGCAAGGTTTTTCATTAAAAATCAAAATGTACAATAAATTGCCTTTATAAATAACAAGACTTCCATTAAACGCGTTTCGACAAGTGACAAAAACATACTTTTTGAATAACGCTTTCTATAATATAGAAGAATATATGAAATGTTCATTTTCTGACTTGCTTGTCATGTAATGTAAATGTATTTTAATTTGTAATCATAATAATCTAATGTAATCTTTTATCATTTGAACTGTAATTTTGACATACCAATGTTATGTAATGTAACGAAATGGTAAATAAATAAATAAAAAGTAAAAGGTAATTGTTGATTCAGCCTTAAAAATATTGTTGACAGTTTATTATACAATCGTGTATTTTCATAAACTTCAAAACGCTATGTGTATACGAACTTATTTTAAAACATCAATCTAACTACAGTTTGTTTTGGGACATGAAAAAAAAAAGTCAAATCCAGCTCCTTCAGAAATTTGGCCAACGTTCTTTGAGAAGGTTCAAAATAATTCAAATGGTGAAGAAAAATAAATAAAAGAAATCTCAAACATTCTGTCCTTTTTTATCTTTTACGTTTGAAATGCGCGGTAATGCATTGTTTTAACAAATTTTACTGCGCACGCTCACATTCGTATGGGTCGATCGGTAGGCAAAAACGTTGTTGTCCAAAATTTACATTTAATTTGGGATAATTTCAAATAAAAGTACAATTCTTATTTACTCGTATTTTCAAAAACTTCAATAACGGTATATATATACGAACTTGATTTTAAAAGAACAATGTTCGGCGTTCATAAATTATTGATTGGCCTAAGGTGGTTTATGTAAAGGTACTTTGACCACGCTTTACCAGCGTAAAATAGTAGCTTAATGCTGCTGTGTTATGTATCGTGAGTGTAGAGAACCGGAGACCCTTTTTACTGGAAACGAGGCATTCCATCTTAGTCTTCACGGGTGACAACTCATCTGCATTTTGATTCGTTATCGAGGATATATGTAGATGTCTATGGGCCGCAGCACCATTTACCATCAGGTGGACTGTGTGCTCGTTTGTCACCCTATCCTATAAAAAAAATTTGCTCGTTTTAGCGCTTTTAATCGTTATATTCTGTTTGTAACTAAAAACCTTATTCATAGATCAAACGATGCGAAAACTGAGTTTTGTAACCCTTGTCTGTATCACTCTTATTAATTGCGCTGTCACAAAGACTTGGCTGTATGATCTACAATACCTTTGCCTATTAAAACCTCAATTTAAACCAAAAAATTATAACACCCGGGGAATAAGACGAAGGTGAATTACTTTTCAAAATGTTTTTTAAATTATGAAGTGTCCGTTCTATTGCAATAATTGTAATGTAAATTATTAAAAAAAAAACTAGTAATAATTGTAAAGGTTTCATGCGTGTTGTTTCGTAGGCCATTTTTAACAATGTCCTTTGGCTACTCTTTGATAAGTAAGCCTGTATATATAATTGCTTTGCTGATCTAGTAAACGTAAGCGTAACTACTGATCATGTGGTCCCAAAGATTCAAAACACGGGTTGAGTAAAATTAGTGTTTGTGTTTTCTGAGAAGAAGATCTCAGTAGCAGCAGACAGAGTCAATAAGTGGATGGCGTTTCAGCCCCATGCTTCGGAAAGCAAGTAAAACCGTTGGTCCTGCGCCTGGTCTTTTTCCTTTCGCGTTGGATTACTGTCCCATCGACTACAGGAGTGATGCAATAGAGAATAGAGCACCTGTGCTTGCGCACACACTGTAATCCTTCACATGGCTAGTCTTCATTGAGTTTTTAAGACAGAGAAATATTAACTTTTGACGGTTATGGAACTTACCTGACGGTGCAGTGGACCCGACGGTAGGTGCAAGAGTTTGCTGCGGTTTAGCGTTGAACAGCCCAGTTTCGAAGCTACTACTGGCCGGAGTGCTTCCGAAGCCAGTGGTAGCCGACTTCGCACCGAATAGATCAGTGCTTTGCTACAAAAATTAAACTTGTTTTAGTGACCATACAGGCCGTGTGGTGGCGTAAAACATTGTGACACCTACAAATGATTTTATTATAAAACAGAAACCAAGAATGTGAATTTCATCATTTTTAATTCCTTAACATGTGTATAAGCACCAATTTTCAAATTAAAAAAACGTTAATTTATTTTTTCCATACAAATTTGAACACCCTCTGACCCCGTAAAAAGTTCTTTTGAAAAATCCGAATTCGTTTATTTTATTTACAGAAAACCTTTAGCAAGTATCGAGTAAAACGCCAATTGAATAAAAATTATCTATTATAATCTATTTCATTCCATCAGCGGTAAAATTTTCCAAAATCCTTTCTCAGTGGATGCCTACATTATAAAAATCAACTACCGTCGAAATTTCAGATTTCTACGTCCAGCGGTTTGGGCTGTGCTTTGTTACATGAATCAGTCACTCAGAACAAACTAGTACACAGTTCACCCAACAACAAGTGGATGCTGTGGAGTTTGGGTTGCTAAATTAATTAAGACATACACTATGAGTCATTCCATCATAGTCCTCATTAATTTTTCATTAGAATTTGGCTGCAGAACCATCAAATGAACCGTTATTTTGTTCCTATGTTCTAAATATAAAAAGTATACTCACTTGGTTCTGTGTGTTGGTACCGAACCCATCAAAGCTAGGCGTGGCGGTGCCGAAGGTAAAGATACCGGTGCCTGATGATAGAGTTTAATATATATTAAAACATTATCAACAGCAAGAAAAATTCAATTTAACAAACTTAACCTGTATAGAGAAAGAACTGTGAAGGTTAGTTTGCAGTATCAGACCACTCGCTGTGAATTTCCTTTTTTTTTTATAAAACTGAATTGACAAGCGAATTCACAGTCCACCTGATGGTATGTGGCTCCTGCAGTCCACTGACAGCTGCAGCCAACTTCAAACAAATACGGCTACCTATGCGTTCTCACCCCTGAGGACTAAGATGGAACACCTCGCAGCGTGTAATTATACTGGCACTCTACACCCTTCACACCAGATCACAGCACTCAGTGCTAGCACGGCTTCTTGTTGACAGAAAGGCGCAGACAGACTCGTATTAAAAAAAGAAAAACAGCAGAACATCCACCTCTCATTGACACTCCATTGTGTTCACTTACATAACTGATTTACGAATTTTATCAGCTAATGTCATAAAGACATAAGCGGTCAATATCCTGACGTCACATAGTTAGCCCGAGATGCCTTCAGTATTAATTATGCATTTTTAGTTCGATCTACGCTGAACATACTTATATTATTTTGATAACACCGTGAGTGTCGCGCAAGAGGCAACTATGGAAATGGCTCATACCTTACGATAGACAGGGCTGTAAGTATTCATTATATGCTAAATGTAAAATATGGATATTTATATAAATTGTTTCTGGGGTGCACTGTCAAAGGTGAGCAATTACTGCACATTCTACCTGCATGAGACCCACGTTCAGCAGGAGGCATGCAAACTGGCACTGAGGGTTGTGAAAATATAAATGCTGCTAAGACCATGAAGAGATTTTTTTAGATTAAGAAACTAGACTTGAGAGAGATAAAAAACGCCACTATTATCATTACAGCCCTTCATAAATAACAAGAAACAGTACTTACTTGAGACTAGTTTTAATGTTAACGAGGCATTCCATCTTACTTCCCAGGGGTTACAACGCATCTGCATTTTGATTCTTAATCGAGGATGAATGTAGATGTCTATGAGGCACATTCGCACTTACTAACTACCAGGTAGGTGTACTGTGTGCTCATTTCTCACCCTTATTATATAAAACAGTGTGTATGAAGATAAATAATGACAATGGCAACGATATGCAGTATGAATCAAATTGTCAGTATACAATACGCTGCTTAATTTTGCACAATGTACGCGGTATTACTTATTACACAACGTCACTAACACACTTCACTTTACACGGTACACATCTAACGGTTATACGTATTAACAGTGATATCGGGCAGTGAATTGTCACCGGTTACACGATTCAACGTGCCCGATGTTCCCAAAGCGGGGGATATTTATACACTAGTAGCGATGGCTCATTAGACAATTGTCTATACACTACAATTCTTCCTTTTTCTTAATATTTTTTATTTGTTTCAATGCATGATCAATAGTTGATTTTTCTGTTACAAAAATAGTTTAAATTGGTCTTCAATAATCATTCTAATTTCATCAGTGTTATTCTCTATTACTTCTTGATCCAAATTGGGTAAACTTTCTTCTTGTTCATCATTAACTACTCTCCACTCTCCTTAACATTTTTTTAAGTGAACAACATTTCGTCGATTACTGTTCATTTGTATCATTATTGCGAATCGCTACGTCTCCAGTGTTGTTAGTAGTTGGTTAATATTTCCAATATGGAACGATTTCAAAGCCCATATTTTTTTTGTAGATAGTACTCACTAAAAGAAAGCGTTTTGCAAAGTTTTAGGTTGCGGAAACTTACGGTTCATGAGATAGATTTTTTTAAACTTTTCATACAAATTGGCAAATAACACGCAATTACACCAATTACAAAATAAATTTGACAAATGATGTCAAACGTCAATTAGTGTAGGGTTCCGAATATTCTGAAAGTATCGATACGTACTCCATACCAAGTATCGTATCAAAAGTATCAATACTACTTGGTATCGAGTACATTTCGTTAATTTTAGAGACTAGGGGGTAAGAAGCCGGGAAGTTGTGCTTCGGCGCTCCGTGGCAGCTCCGGCGCTGCGGGATGAGCAGTGCCTCCGCCCTAGCGTAGGGAAGCGCAGGCACCGAGATCGCCGTAGCGGCGTTATATCACATTTATGGCATTTAATTTTCCTTGCGGGACATTCTATTGATTGAGGCATATGCTTAAAGCTCCCACGTACGTACGTACACCTAGTACACGATTTGTTAAACATCTTTCTTCTGTTCAATTTTATTCACGGTAGTGCTATTACATGCGAAGTTGTGAGTAAATTCATCCATTTGTCTATTCACACTTTCTAAAGTATTTGCTTCTATTACGATATCCTCTAATGTCATTTTGTCACCTCCATTTAAAAAAAAATTATGAAGCTCACCCGAGTAACACTTTTCTGTAATTTGATCGATAATGCTTTCGTTCTTATTTGCAAAACCACATTTATCAGCCTGTTTTCTTAATCTAATTAAAAATTTCTCAAATTTTTCTCCAGATTCCTGTTTCATTAGCCAAAATAAGTGTCTCTCGTATACTTTGCTTTGTTTTGGAGCAAAGTACTCGTCTAACTTTTCAGCTCAGCTACAACATGAACATCCTTGTTGGACCATTTGTACTGCTAACATGGGCTCCTGGTATATTATAGTATATTTCTTGGAGACTAATGCCACCCATGTGTAATAATGTAGCTCTTTTTTTTGCGGGTAGTTCAATATTTGCAGCTTCTAGATAAATGTCTAATCCTCGCTTCCACTTCTCCCATTTTGCGCCAACACCTTGAGAATCCCCATCACAATCAAATGATTCTAGATATATAGATAATGATGACATTTTTTTTAATCTGCATGAAAGGAAATATAGAAGCAGATAATAACCAATATTTTCATTACATTTTTTAATAAAACGAGGCACATTTCGAATGCACGCAGTATGACAACTAAAACAGCGACCAATATATCTTTTAATTACGTGTGTCTATTATTAGACAGTCACGCAATTACATTCTCCCGATCATCATTCATCTCAGCCTTTGATAATTTAAACCATTTTCTGGGACCTAAAGCATGTCCATGACTGGACCTTTGCTTTAGTAAATCTTGGACCATCACCAATAAGTGTCCATGCTCCTGGACCATCTCATTGGGGTGTCCATTTGATTTTAACAAAGATAAATCACGGCATAAACAATCAAACTGCTATTGCTAGTTGTCCCCAACTTTAGACTCCGCTAACCTATCTTTTAAAAGAGAATACTTACATCAAATCCTTACATAAAACTTTTCCAGTTTATATAAAAACATTTGTAATTACTTACAGTATTTTTTCCTCGTCGCCAATATACAATACGCTTCTTTATTTTGCACAATGTACGCGGTATCACTTATTACACAACATCACTAACACACTTCACTTTACACGGTACACATCTAACGGTTATACATATTAACAGAGATTTTGTCTGCTCACTGGTTACAATTCAACTGCCCGATGTTCCCAAAGCGGGGGGTATTTATACACTAGTAGCGATGGCTCACGCGCGATGGATTAAGACAAGTACATGTCACTTACATGAGTATATACCTTAATGTGAATTCAACTGTCGTTCACCAAATTAATTTTACCAATAATACACAAACTTGACCCGCACATCGCATTCATGATTGTTTAAGTGAGTCATTTGCAACAAGATATTCATATAATTTTTTCTTGAATCATTGAACGAGTTTACATTTTTATGTGTGCGGGTAATTTGTTGTAAAGCTGCGCTCCTTCAAATGTTAACATTGTGTTCAAGTCATGGAACAAGAGAAAAGTAAAAGGACCCTTATATGGCCCACAGCTGGACACAGGTTCTATAAAAAATAGAGTACACAAGTAAGACATGTAGAAAGTAAAGAGATGCTACTAACTCATTCTTTAACTTTCTACATGTCTTGCCTGGTTGTTAATCCATCTAGAGTGGCTCCCAAATGGAGTAAAAAATAGAAGGCAAAAAAAAACATTTTAATAATTAATATTAGGCTGCCACAACTAAATGGTCACCAACTCAGCACAAGCTACAGCAGCATCGCTGCAGCACTGCTGCTCTGCTGGCAACTTGTGCAAAATTTGTTTAATTAGTACATACTCACCAGTAGTGCTTGTGGCTCCAAAGGCGAATTTGTTACCAAAGAGGTCTGTAGACGTTGTTGGGTTTTGTGTGTTGCCACCGAATGAGAATTTGTCTGTAAAAATGATAATTATTTATTTATTTATACCTCTTCAAGGCAAGAGAGAATAAGCGTTTGGTTAACATTATGATTTCCGCTTTCAATAATTTTCATGAAACTTTGAGTGTGTGCTGGTGTGCCCCAAGGTACAATTCTTGGCCCTTTACTTTTTATTTTATATATTAATGATCTTCCATTGGCAATCGATCAACATTGTACTCTATATGCCGACGATATATCAGTTATAATAACAGGTAAAGAAAAGCCATCTGATTATGAACTTAAAGTTAACAATTCTGTCACATCTACAATAAATTGGCTCGAAAGTAATAATTTATGTCCCAATCTACTCAAAACTAAATATAATATATTTTGCATGTCAACTCCGGGTTACCTAATGAACTTGGTGCCTCATCTTCCAGTGGCTTCAAGCATGTTTGCATACTTTGTGGAAGTTCTCTGAGGAACCGTAAACGTGACCTTATTGTGAGAGAGAATCCATCTCAGTTGCAACAAGCAATACATGTAGAGCTTGAAAATAGAATTGCCCCATGGCAGGTAATTATGATTCGCTTATTATGTACTTTTTTCTTTTTGTTTTGTATTGGTATCAATGTTATAGTGAATTTATCGCTGCAATTTAATATTGTTTTGCAAACATATTCTTATTTGCTCGGGTTTAATAATAACATGCCAAAACATTTATATTAAGACAAGCCTGTATGATCGTTTCAAGCAACTTCAACAGACCATGTTTGTCATCCCTGTTGGCTGAGACTCAAGAGAGTTGCAACAGACAATATGCAGCGGACAGAAGGCAGAAGGCTGCCACAACTAAATGGTCACCAACTCAGCACAAGCTACAGCAGCATCGCTGCAGCACTGCTGCTCTGCTGGCAACTTGTGCAAAATTTGTTTAATTAGTACATACTCACCAGTAGTGCTTGTGGCTCCAAAGGCGAATTTGTTACCAAAGAGGTCTGTAGACGTTGTTGGGTTTTGTGTGGAGAATGAATTTTCTGTAAAATATAATTATTTATTTATAACCTCTTCAAGGCAAGAGCGAATAAGCGTTTGTTGACAAAATGATTTCTTATATTTACGCGAACACTACTTATTGACAAAAGTGTCAAGCTAAGTCAGGAACCGTGCAGTGATGGTGTGAGAATGTCATCCACTAACCCATACGGGTGTCGTAAGTGGCGATAGAGAGGAGTTGAAACAGGAAATGGGGGCCAACAGCATTTTTTTGATAACAACTCAAAATAATAAAAACTGCGGTCCCCAACCCACCTGCATGGCAATGACAGGCGTGAGTGTTTATGCATTACGTGCTGTGATAAATACGGGTGTGCCACAAGGGTCCATTCTTGGCCCATTATTAATTTTCTTCTAAGTCTTAATATCGTAAGCCGATATAATACATTAATGTATTATATCGGCTTACGAGAGCTGGCAACTTATTCCGAGAAAAAAGTTCTCCAATAAGTTAATATTTGAAGTTCATACTCACTGGTGCCTCCGAACAGTGGTTTGTTCTCAGTGGCCTGTTGGAAGCCGGTGAACATGCCCCCAGTAGTAGAACCCTTGCGTCCAGCAGTGTAGTCCTCCAGCCTTAACTCTTCTAGTGACTTGCCTTCATACTCCTAAAAATAAAATAAGTCCCAAATGTTTATCTAATTAAGCGACAAAGGAGCACACAGTTCACCTGATGGCAAGTGGATGTTGTGATAGACATCTCAATTAACAATAAAATGTAAAGGTGTCCCATGAGGATTAAAATAGTAATGTGAATAGTAAAAAGGGTTCATCTATTTCCTGTATTTAGAAATAGAGTGAATGGGGCTCTACACTCTACTATGAAGAATCAGAATGTGTGTAAGAATGCACGTATGGTAATTCATAACGCCCTACTTTAATGTATGGTGTGAAAGTTGGGGACGAAAGTAGAATAAATGCCGTAGAAATGCTGTCTTTTAGGGAGTATGCTAGGGCTGAATCTGAATGACAGGGTGAGAAATTGCGTGATAAGAGAAAAATGTGGTGTGCAAGATGATGATTATGATGATGATGATGTTGTGGTTTGGTCTTGTAGAAAGAATGAACGAGGAAAGAGTGACAAAGTAAATGTATCTTGCAGAGGTGAACGGCAGAGTCGGGAAAGGACACTCTAGAAGAAGGTTAATCAACCAAATTGGCGATATTTTGAAATTGGGCCACATTAGGAGTAACCCTAATCGACGAGCGTGTATGCGCAGATATATGGATGTGAAGGAGGCGAAAGAGGTATGTCAGGATCGTGCCAAATGGAAGTCCGTAATCTCTGCCTACCCCTCTGGGTGACGAGCGTGAGGATTATGCTGGTACTCTGTGCAAGCAGGACTGGAAACAAGGTATTCTAATTTCTTCCTCAGAGGTAACAATGCATCTGAGGTTTTTTTATAGAATTAGGATGACAAATGAGCTCGCAATCCACCTGAGGGTAGGTGGATGCTGTGACCCAGAGAAATCTACATTTATCCTCAATTAAGAATGATAATGCAGATGTGTTGTCTCCCCTGAGGACTGAGATGCAATGCCTTGGTTCCAGTACAAAGCGTCTTTGCTTCTCAAAACTCACAATATGAAACACAGCAGCGATAAGTTGCTATTTCACGCTGATATTCTGTGAGCGTGGCTCCTACCCCGGTCGAGCTGACACATTTCTGCCGCAACCACGACACAGCTGCAGCGTGGCTCTATCACATATACCACACCACTTAATCGGTGAATCGGTGTATCATCAGGAGCACTGTTTGCTCGTTTTTCACCGTACTTCTACAAAACTCTTTGCATAACAAGATAAATAAGAGTTTTACTGACCGTCATGCAAGTGATGCAATGCTTCTTCACATTGATAATGTTCGATGAACCAGACTTGACTACAACATCTGTGCCAACGACGGGTTCATACTTGATGCGGCCCGTTCCAGTCGGTGCTCGTTGTTGTTTGAAGGCATCTGTAATTATTTATAAAGTTAAACATTTTAAGATCATTACCAAGTTTGAAAACTTAGTGCATAGGCCTCCACCACCTATGCTTGTATTCTGTTGGCCAAACAAACCAGTGCTGGTTGAAGGAGTTGAATCTAACAAAACACTCCTGCATGTTCCAGGGGTTGATGTGCTGCCCAAGCCAAAACCTAATGAAGCAAAAATAATAATACTTACCAAACCCAGAGGTGTTGCTACCAAATGTCTGCTTTTAAAACATGTTGCTATATTTCCTATGATGTATCGTTAATAAAATCTTTTGCTTCCTACAGATGCTACATGCTGTCAAATAACTGCCATGGAAAACTACTATGGGCCTTAGACACCTACATCTATCCTTGACTACGAATCAAAATGCAGATGCGTTAGAGACCTGGAACTACGATGGAATGCCTCGTTTCCAGTAAAGGGGGTCTTCAGTTCTCTACACTCGCCATACGCAACACAGCAGTATTAAGCTGCTACTTTACGCTGGTATTCAGTGAGAGCGTGGTCCTACCCCGGTCTACTACTAATATAGCTGCTGCATGGCTCTACCACGGCGGAACAAACTGTTTGTACAGGTAATGTTGCGCGTATGCACGGCACCGGCGAGAGCAAGCTTACTTGCGCAATCTAAGGAAAGGAGGTTGGCCAAATCGTACCAGACGATGAAACGATGACGTCTCAATATAACATATTTATTAAAAATACCCTTACGGTTTAAGGTCTTAAACACAAGAAATACCTCTCTAAGTAGCCACAAAAAAGTTATCCATTTATTTTTGTTTTTGTAACTGTTTCGAAATTATTTTAAATAATAGTTACAGAACGCACCTTATGACGACTCATTTCGTGTATGAAAGGACTTGGTATTCAAAGACTATAATTATTCACGTTTTTCTGAATAGTTGTTAATTTTAATTCAATTCAATTAGTATGTAGACATCAAATTTTATTTTATTTTTATTTATTTATTTATTTTTACAAAATATAGTTATTAAATAACACCCGACAGTACAAATAAACTTACAAAAGTTTTTCCATGTACCGCCGATTCGTAACTTCGACCATGTTCAATCGGTTCGCGTAGCGACAACTTACATAATACATGGTGTGACAATATTTTGACAATATTTTTTTAACTATATGTGTACCACAGGAAAGGACAGTTAGTGAGTTGATAAATAATATTAGTAATCGAGATATTAATGTTACGATTGTGTGTATCTATGTATATATTTATTAGTAGATTTGTATTTATGTATATTATGTGTGTTAGTATAGTTTTTTTTTAGTATAAATTATTAGTAGGTGTCGTTATCAATTTGTCTATAAAATACTGTTTGAGCTTATATTTAATATTTTTCTTAGTAAGTTCATTTTTTATTGCTTTTGGAATTTGGTTCAAAAGAGCGGGAACTTGATATTGTAACCTAAATTTTCCATACATATTTTTATATTTTGGTATCGTCATATATGGATTAGGGGCTTGTCGTGTAAGCTTTGTATAGATACGGCTAATTTTTAATTCTTCCTTGCTATAATTTTCAAGCAGTAGTTGGTATTTCACCCTGTCGTGTACTGGTAGTATATTGCAATGATGAAAGAGACCATAGGGATTTTTTTTAAATTTATCTTTGATTTTGAGAGGCATGATACATTTAAGAATGCGCAATTGTAGCTCGTATATTTTTTCAAGGTGGGTTTTATACGTTCGTCCATAACTGCTTAACCCATACGAAACTATTGATTCTCCGAGTGCTTTATATAGTAACATTAGCATGTGGTAAGGTACTTTACCCTTGATGAGGTACAATTTTGCTAAGATCGCTCGTAGCTTATCACATATAGATTCAATGTGATAAGTCCATTTCATACGGTCGTCGATTATTAAACCTAAATATCTACATTTTTCTACCACTTCAATCTGGGGACATTCACAATTATTATTATGGGTTGAACTTTGGATATTATGAAGATATGTATGATTATGAGCTATAAGATTAATTTCATGTTTTAATGTATTTTGACTCGAGCTCACGTACATTATTTTAGTCTTATTCGAATTAAGTACAAGACCTGCGTCATGTGACCATTGCATGAGCCTCGTAAAATCCTCCTGTAACAGTTTTACCGCCTTATCTATATTGTGGTGGGCTGCTAACAGACAGGTATCGTCAGCAAATTGGAAGATTTTACAGTTGTTAACCACATTGTTGATATTATTCACGTAAGTGATATAGTATAGCGGTCCTAATACAGAACCCTGTGCTGTTCCTTCACTCACCAAAACTTTATTACTTAAGGTATCCCCTACCTTGACATAGTAACAACGATTTTTGAGATAGTCCTGACACCAGTCAAGAATCGGCCCTTTAATTCCACAGTCATCTAGTCGCTCTAGTAATACATCATGGCGTAAAGTATCGAATGCCCTGCTATAGTCGATAAATAACAGCAATACATGTTTTCTCTCATTAAGATTTTCATATACGTTATTAGTAAATAGTGAAAGTAGTTGCGTTGTGCTTTCTTTAGGTTGAAACCCAAACTGTGTGTCATTAAGAATGTTATTTAGCCCGTAAAAGTTGTAAATTTGTCTAGCTATGTATTTTTCTATAATCTTATCTATCGTGGGTAATATAGTTATAGGACGGTAATTATCATAATCCTGTTTGCTTCCCTTTTTGTATATAGGTCTCACAATTCCAGTTTTCAATTCGTCAGGATATTTATTAGTCTTTATGCAGACATTTACCAGTTTTGCAATAGCCGGAGCAATTTCTTCGCAAATTCGTTTTATATCTATCGCCCGAATTCTGTCAAGACCCGGAGCTTTGTTAACGTTTATTGTTTTTATAATTTTAAGGATCTCTTTAGGTGTCGCTTTTTGAAAATTCATTGTTACGTTAACTGGTTGTCTGTATTCTATTTTATCTAAAATATTATTTTTACATAGAGGTATTATGTTTTGAACGCCACTATGAAATTTATTCGCAAAGTTATTTGCAATTATATTTTTATTTTTGTTTGTGCCCCCAAACGCATTTAAGAGTACTGTATCCACTGTCTTACGCACCCTACCTGTTATTCTGTTAAGAATAAACCAGAGTTGTTTTAAATTATCTTTATATTTATGTATTTCATTATAAATGTATTTATTTTTGCAGGATCTAATTAATTTATTTGCATAGTTTCGCGCTTTATTATATTGTGTTTTTAAAATTTTATTATTATTATCTTTTATCCATTGGTAAAATAGTTTATCTCTATACTCACAAGCTTTGATAATACGTGAACTTATCCATTTATTTTCGGTATGTTTGTTACTGGTGTTTTTAATTTTTGATGTAATTTTCGCGTCGTTGTAGCATTTATTTATATTTTTATATATATACTGTAATATAGTATCTGGACAGACCATATCATCAACTTTCTTCCAGTTAATATTATTCAATAACAGTTTTAATTTTTCATTGTTATATATATTTTTATAAGTAGTTTCACCCTGTATACGCGCATGTGTTTGTTCCACACAGGCAAGCACTACCGCTCGGTGGTCCGCTAGCACTACACCAAGCGCCGCGGTGTAAACATCTTGTTTGCGTGATCTCGCGTACACATGATCAATACAGGATTTAGTTATTCTATCGTCAATTAATTCAATTCTAGTGTACTGCGATATCCCGCACTCAAGGCCGTAGTTATGTAGCATGCAGTTGTATTTATGTCTTATAGGAGTATATGTTTGCAAGTCTATATTCATATCTACGAGGATAAATAGTTCAGAATTTGTGTCCACCTACCGTAAAGTGCGAAGTTCGTGAATGAATAAGTGTTTGCTTAGATTAGGAGGGAGATAAATTGCACATACAGTTGCCGTGTAAAAAGATGGAGTGCAAATTTGAAATAATATATGTTCAAAATGTTTTGTTAATAAGTTACTAATTATTGTAAATTTATTCTTCTTGTGTATATATGCTATTATACCGCCACCCCTTCGGTTTTTACGCAGCACTGTATGCATGTTATAGTCCGGTAGGTTAAACATATCACTAAGGTTGTCAGATATATTAGCTTCCGTTACCAATATAATATCTATACATGCGTTAGATGAGTACACACATTGTTCTAAAGCATCAAAGTTTTTAATCAAGGATCTTATATTTATGTGCATGCATAGAAGGTTAGTTTGACAATTTTTAACAGGAATATGATTTAGAAATGAATTTATGTTAGTACAATTACTCAATTCACAAATATCGTCTAACTGTACGTCCATTAAAAAAAAATAAAGAACAAAAATAAACCTTTTTGATATATTTTTTGAAATTAAGTACCTATATAGAATAATTTATTGCGGCTGTACATGGACTTCCTTTTGTAGTAAGGCTTTAATGTCATCATCAGTTCTAATTATGAACGATTGATCTTTTTCACTTTTTCTTGCTCTAATAACTCCATTCTTGCACCACACATATTTGTATACTCCGCTGTTTTTAAGTTCTCTTCTGGCATTTCCAAGTAAGGTCTTTATGTATATGGTTAATGCCTCACTTATGTAGGTGGTTTCTTTACCAGTTAACGGTGATGCGCTAGGTAAGATATCGTTCACCATGACCTTTGTATCCTTTGCTTTTGTAAGCCATTTTGTTTTAACAGTTTCTAACGGTAGAACCACACGTAGTTTTCCGGAATTATTTCTATTGTAACCAAAGCGCTTTACTTGTATAATGTTTTCTTCTAATTCAAGTTTTTGTTGTATTTTTTGCACGACGTTTAAAAGATCCTCGTTGTCAGTGAATGGGATATTAAAAATATCAATAGTTTTAATAAGCTGTTGCTGTTCTTGTTCTTGTAAACGCTGTTCTAATGCACTTATTCTATATTCTAAGTTTTTATTTTGGTTAGATAATTCGATATTCTTCTTTTTTATTTCTTTGACTGTAGTTTTAAATGCGTCTACGGTTTCGAGTATATCATCAAGTTTTCTAGCATTGAATTCCAAAGACTCTGCAAACTGGCTCAATTGACGTTGAATAGCACACTCCACTTTTGATGATATTTCTAGCAGCAATTTTTTACCATCTAATGGAACAGATGCTGAGGTTATAGGCGATCCAAATGCTTCATCATCATCATCTTCAGGTATCACAATCGAAGTTCGTCTAGATGAAGTGTTTTTGCATTCAGAGCACGACCAATCTAGGTTTTCACTTGCCCGAAGCGCATTCCTCTGTTTGGTGGTAAGCCCTGAGCATTCTGTGTTCAGATGCACCATCTTCTCACAACGATGACACTCCACACCAGGACGAGCCTTTGTAATATTTTTGTTGCATTTTTCACACTTCGACATAATGCTGTTAGACACAAAATTATTTGCCGCTACCAAACGTCCGATCGACATGAGCGAGCGAGGCCGAATCATCAACTACTATGTTGATTTAATATGTACTGGATTCTTGTCAAAAATTATTATGTAAGTCATAGTAAACTAAACGTTTTGTTCAATTACATACGTACAACGGAATGTCATTTGTCATCGCTTAATCTGTGGTAATCGATCCGCGCTATTATTGTCATTTCCTTCGATTGTTTTGACCTCGGTATTGTTTTACGGACTGATTTCGGGAAATCTTGAATATTTGTGAGAGACATCATGCAGACTACACAACAAAGACAACTGGGCGTGCGATTTCTATGTGTTGATTGTAACATACGCATTGATACTCTTCGCCGCCATCTCGTTTTTGAGCTACCAGAGTAATTTCTTAGATCTGCGAGTGGGATTCTTCAATAATAGTACGTATTTACAAACCTACTTATTTTATTACACTAACATAAACCATTATTATAATACTAGATAGGTGAGATAGATAGATAAAACGTTTATTTGTATCTCCAATCACACCCGTAAATTCAGTGATTAACGAGATATACAATCAAAGTATTATGGAAAAAAATATATAAACTTATGATCTAAATATACATGTGTGTTGCAGTAATCAACTGTAATTCTTATTTTAGATCACTGAAGAAGATTACGTATGTGATGCCTGTCAGCAATTGGCAATACAGGATGTCAACTCCTGGTGCCTCATCTTCCAGTGGCTTCAAGCATGTTTGCATACTTTGTGGAAGTTCTCTGAGGAACCGTAAACGTGACCTTATTGTGAGAGAGAATCCATCTCAGTTGCAACAAGCAATACATGTAGAGCTTGAAAATAGAATTGCCCCATGGCAGGTAATTATGATTCGCTTATTATGTACTTTTTTCTTTTTGTTTTGTATTGGTATCAATGTTATAGTGAATTTATCGCTGCAATTTAATATTGTTTTGCAAAAATGTTCTTATTTGCTCGGGTTTAATAATAACATGCCAAAACATTTATATTAAGACAAGCCTGTATGACCGTTTCAGGCAACTTCAACAGACCATGTTTGTCATCCCTGTTGGCTGAGACTCAAGAGAGTTGCAACAGACAATACGCAGCGGACAGAAGGCAGAAGGCTGCCACAACTAAATGGTCACCAACTCAGCACAAGCTACAGCAGCATCGCTGCAGCACTGCTGCTCTGCTGGCAACTTGTGTAAAATTTGTTTAATTAGTACATACTCACCAGTAATGCTTGTGGCTCCAAAGGCGAATTTGTTACCAAAGAGGTCTGTAGACGTTGTTGGGTTTTGTGTGTTGCCACCGAATGAGAATTTGTCTGTAAAAATTATAATTATTTATTTATTTATACCTCTTCAAGGCAAGAGTGAATAAGCTTTTGGTTAACATTATGATTTCCGCTTTCAATAATTTTCATGAAACTTTGATAATGTTCTATTATCTCTGCGTTCCAACTTTAAGAATTAATATAAAAAGATTCAATTCGGTCACAAAATGGATCACAAAGGAAATTAAAAAATCGTGTTGCACAAAAAGAAAATTAATGTCTTTATTTTTTTAAAACAAAACAGATAGTAAGAAGACACATGTCAGGACATATAGTAAAATCTTAAAATCTTGTATCATTAAAGCAAAAAGCAACACAAACAATAATTTCATTAATAAAGCCAAAAATAAGTGTAAAGCTACTTGGAATCTCATCAAAGAGTCATCAAATGATTTACGGAAAAATAAGGACATTACTTCGATTCACAAAAATGAAACATTGATTAAAGATCCTGAAGAAATAGCAAATATATTTAACAGCTTCTTCACAAATTTACCAAAAAAAAAACTATGATAAAAAATAAAAGTTTTCCCTTAAAGTACGTTTATGTCCCAGTCGCCTCAGATGACCCGAGAGGCTGACTGGGATTAGCCCATTCGCAGAGACGACTACAGGAATAATTTCGGCCGGCCGACCACCCCACATGTCGGTCACCTCGTGAGCCAGGTCCAGATATTTTGTTCGCTTATCTGTTTCGGCTTTCACGAGGTTCTCGTCATACGGAATGGTAATGTCCACCAAAAATATCCTTGACTGTGCCCGGTCCATCAGCACAATATCAGGCTTATTCGCAAGAATAGTCCTGTCTGTGATGATGACCCGGTCCCAGTAGAGCCTGGCGCGGTCATTTTCGAGCACGGCTTCCGGCAAGTACTTGTAATACGGCACTTTCCGGTCCACGAGACCGTATTTCAGAGCGAGCTCCTGGTGTAGAATTCTGGCTACTAGGTTGTGCCTGTGCAAGTACTCAGAGTTAGAAAGCGCCGAACAACCGAAGATGACATGCCTAAGTGACTCACCGGGATGGCGACAAGTCCGACAGACGTCAACGGTGCCATCCTTTAGGATGTATTTCCGATAGTTGTTGGTCTTAATAACCTGATCCTGTATTGCACAGACAAAACCCTCGGTTTCCCCGAAGAGGTCACCGAAACTTAGCCAGTTTAGGGAGGCGATTGTATCTACGAAGGGATCATGTAAAGCCCTGTAGTACCTCCCGTGGAGTTTCTTCTCCTTCCATACGGTCTCCCGATCGGAAATGCTAAGCACTGCTAGGTACTGCCATTGCTCGTTGGCTAAGGATAAAGGGGTAAGCCCTTTATCATTCATAACATTATAGAATGGATCATCCGATCTTGCCAGGAAGTAATGACGGAGGCTGCACACTTCGCGATTATGCATGGTAAGCGCGCTCAGAAAACCACGCCCACCATGCTTTCGCGGCAAGTACAGCCTCATTACCGACGATCTCGGATGATGCACTCTATGAGACGTCATGGTAGTGCGGACTTTTCTATCCGGGGCGTTAAGTTCGGTCTGAATCCACCTGAGTATGCCAAAGATATACATGAGGACAGGCATGACCCAGCCGTTATATGCGTGTGTCTTATTCACACCGGACCAAAGTGCTTAACAGCCTGTTAAGCACTTTGGTCAAGCGTGCATAAAACACGTCGCAAACTGACTGTTTCATACCAGCCTCATCGATACCGATGTTCTGTGACATACCCAGGTATCGGTATGTTTCAGCCTCGGAAAGGGTCCTTAAGTTGACGGGCATGGACAAGTTTATGCCCTCAGAGTTAGCAACCCTTCCCCCTTCAACATGGAGGACCGCACACTTATCCGTCCCCAGGTCCATCCCAATGAAATGCTAAATTCACAAGTGATATTTAGCAATTACATAAGATGGGAGCGACTGGAGGCGAATAACTTGAGGTCATCCATATAGAAAAAGGTGGGTCACTTTTGTCCCTCCTTTCCGTAGCTGAAATCCCCTCCCGGAGCCCTCCAGTAAGGTACTGAGAGGGTTCAGAGAGAGGCAGAACCAGATTGACAATCGCCCTGGAAGATACCCCTTCTTATCAATCTTGTACAGCTCGAGGACCCTCTTTAGCCATGTATGGGGCACCTAGTCGAACGCCTTTCTGTAGTCTATTCAGGCGGCAGAGAAGTCCCGATGGTTGCGTTTCACCACTTTGCCTATGACCGCGTTAATGAGGAGTGGTTCCTTGGTTCCACGACCACCGCCCCTACATCCATTTTGAGCGCGTGACATCACCTGGTATAGCTCCAGGTGACGAGTTATTCTCGCGCTCAAAATGGATGTCAGTGTCTTATATATGGCGGGTAGACACGTAATGGGGCGGTATTTGCTCCGGTCTGCGGTATTCTGATCTTTAGGAACCAAGTGAGTGATCACAGTAGTGAAGAGGCTCGGGAGTGACTTCTGGTCGAGAGCCTCTAGAAACTGTCGGGCGAGCACAGCGTGACACACTATGAACCCCTTCAGCCAGTAATGATGTAGCCCGTCGAGTCCTGTACTTTTCCAGTTCGGGGCCCTACGGACCGCCTCAGCCACGTCTTCCGGCGTTATGGTGATGGAGTCCATAGGCGTAGTACTCGCACCCTGGCTCGCCACAACTTCCATCCAAGGGCCCTCGTTGTGGTTTACGGGCTCTGACCACAGGCCATACCAGAATGCGATAATGTCATTTTGATCCGGTCCTTGGCGCGCTCCACATACCTTTGGTCGCTCTAATGATTTATAGAGCCTCTTCTGATCACTCTGGAAGAGACGATTCTGACGAATCCACTTCCCCGAAGCAGCGATCTTTTGCTTCAGGTCGTCTATGCGCTCCGTTAGTTTCTGCGTGATATCCGGCTGGGACAAACTGATATTTGTCCCAGCAAACGCCATCCTAACGGTGCGCACAATCCTCGGTCTATTATTACCCGACCTGTTGCCTTTGGCGATACGGTCCTCGATTCTTTTTCCACTACACAAAAAGTAAAAAATTATCCCGTTTCGGAGAATGAGGACCGTATCGCAAAGGCAGTCAGGTCGGGTATTACAGTGCACCAGCAGGATGGCGTTTGCTAACAAACCGATATTTGTCCCAGCAAACGCCATCCTAACGGTGCGCACAATCCTCGGTCTATTATTACCCGACCTGTTGCCTTTGCGATACGGTCCTCGATTCTTTTTCTCCAGGCTGGGATGGCGCTACTTTGTGTAGTAGCGCGTCCAGCCATAATACGGCACAATTACGGCAAACTGCCACTGCGGCGCCAAAGAGAATTGAGTCCGTCTCGAAAAGGTCCCGGCTGGCTTCCAAATAGGTCACCAGCATTGGGTTAAGAGCCCTCACGACAGCCCGATTTCGTTTGCTTAGGGGTATGCGGGGAAGTCGCGGTCGATTTTTGAGAGGGGTGCTGCGCGTTTCCAAAATCGCCTCATCCAATATGCTCATCATTTGCTCTAGTTCGTGGGAGACTATTTCATCATCGTTAGAATCAACCACAACAGGAAGATCCATAGCGGCTTCCACGTGTGGATGCTGGTCTGTCGCATGTGGAGCTGCATTCACAGCCATAGCCGATTCATTCGATGATGGAATAGCCTCATGTCGTATTCGTTATTATTATTATATTTGGGGTATCTATATAATTTTCTCATCTGGTTGGGTTCTATAAATATATAATTATAAATTAAAATGGAAAGATAAATATACATAAATATCAATAAAATAATATAAATACAAAAAATACATAAATAAATAAGATCCAACCAGATGGAAGCCCTCGGCAGGGGAGACCAAACGGCCGAGGGTTAGGGGGAAAGGGAAAGAAACCGGCGGACGATGCGGGCTGTATCGAGGAGCACCACCTTCTGCATTTGAGCCTGGGGCGGTCCGCCACGTAGTTCCAGCCGCCTCAGATGACCCGAGAGGCTGACTGGGATTAGCCCGTTTGCAGAAACGACTACAGGAATAATTTCGGTCGGCAGTCCACCCCACATGTTGGTCACCTCGTGAGCTAGGTCCAGGTATTTTGTTTGCTTATCTGTTTCGGCTTTCACGAGGTTCTCGTCATACGGAATGGTAATGTCGACCAAAAACATCCTTGACTGTGCCCGATCCATCAGCACAATATCAGGTTTATTCGCAAGAATAGTCCTGTCTGTGATGATGGCCCGGTCCCAATAGAGCCTGGTGCGATCATTTTCGATTAAAAATATATATATATATAAATTTTTATATTATTCTTTTATTTACGCGTACACTACTCATCGAAGTCAGGAACCGTGCAGTAATGTTGTGAGAATATCATCCACTAGCCCATATGGGTGTCGTAAATGGCGACAGAGAGGAGCTAAAACAAGAAATGGGGCCAACAGCATTTTCTTGATAACAACTCAAAATAATAAAAACTGCGGTCCCCAACCCACCTGCATGGCAATAACAGGCGTGAGTGTTTATGCATTACTACGTGCTGTGATAAATACGGGTGTGCCACAAGGGTCCATTCTTGGCCCATTCTTAATTTTCTTCAAGTCTTAATTTCGTAAGCCGATATAATACATTAATTTATTTCGATAAAAAAGTTCTCCAATAAGTTAATATTTGAAGTTCATACTCACTGGTGCCTCCGAACAGTGGTTTGTTCTCAGTGGCCTGTTGGAAGCCGGTGAACATGCCCCCAGAAGTAGGACCCTTGCGTCCAGCAGTGTAGTCCTCCAGCCTTAACTCTTCTAGTGACTTGCCTTCATACTCCTAAAAATAAAATAAGTCCGAAATGTTTATCTAATTAAGCGGACAAAGGAGCACACAGTTCACCTAATGGCAAGTGGATGTTGTGATAGACATCTCAATTAAGAATAAAATATAAAGGTGTCCCATGAGGATTAAAATAGTAATGTGAATAGTAAAAAGGGTTCCTCTATTTCCTCTATTTAGAAATAGAGTGAATGGGGCTCTACACTCTACTATGAAGAATCAGAATGTGTCTAAGAATGCACGTATGGTAATTCATAACGCCCTACTTTAATGTATGGTAGTGAAAGTTGGGTGTTGCAGAAGAAGCACGGAAGTAGAATAATTTTTTTTTTCGCTAAACTCGTAAAATACTTGACCAACTTTGAGAATTCTTTCACCACTAGATTGTTATGTATAATTTTAGATATCTAATGTAGGATGAATTTTATTATAGAGGGCGCTACTTTCAATGACTACGTTTTTTGGCTAATTTCAAAAATTACTAGACCGATTTTGAAAATTCTTTCACCATTACATTGCTAATGAGGGCGTTAGTTGTATGATAAAATTATATTATTACAATAATTAATTGTGAGATTAATATTTTCTAAATAAATAAAACTAAATACCTACCTAAGATGTTCAAATCCAATTATTATTTTTACAATTTAATAATCGTATTTACACACTTTACTTATTCAGATTGATTATTATAAATAAAGACGTAATAAATCTAAAGTAAAAGAGCTCCGCTTAAACGAAAAAAACTATTTATTAAAATAAAACTGAAAGTTGAAAAAAGTGGTTCAGTGCGAGTGGTTCGGACTCGCAGACCCATGAAGAGTTCTGTAGTAACAAGCATATATTTTAAATCGAGTCAAAATACCACTATCATTATCGCCAGCAACAAATTATTCTATTTTTCATAATGTTTGTATTAATAACAAAGTTGTTTTTGCGGTTCTTTAAAATGTGCTACTTGTATCTAAAAAATGGACTATTATACATTATACGGGTTTCTGTGGTTTATTCATTACCAAAGAGAAAAAACTTATTGCACAAAATGGGTTTTTATCCATTTCAAGTCATCAAAAGCGGTATTTCACCGTTAAAAACAAAAACAACCGTTGTTATAGGCTCGGTTGAAATCATTGACAACCTTCACATTTATAGTTATGATAATTAAACAAGCGAATTACTAGCTGATTTACCAAGAATTTTTTAGATTATAACAAAACGCTACTGCACAATTTAACTGTTATTCTTATCTGTTCTTAACATAACATTTAAAATGGAGTCATGTTATGATAATTCAAGAAGTTAATTTCTAGCTGATTTACTGAATTCTCTAAAGCATAACAAAACAATACAGCACAAGTTAACTGTTCTTAAAAATACATTTGAAATAGAATTTCAATAAATAAAGGAAATTATATTTTAAAAAGTGTGCAGAACTTAAAACGCAACAAAGATTATTCTTTTTATGATATTATTAATCGAATAAAAATCGATATCGTTTCATAGATTTTATGATAGTTAAGTGGCAACATCGAATCTGACAGGTAGGCCCCTGTCACTGTTATGTCACAAGAATTCAATTGCGTGTTATCGTGTTATTTTGTTTTGTTGGAAAATACAATTGTTGATCTCTCAACAATTGGTTCGAACACAGTAGGTAAATAGTTGCTACATATCACGATGTGGCATGTCTTCCTCTAAGAAATGCTTTATAACTGAGTTTACTTGAATAATATCAATATAACAATTATAGCTTCTTTATAAGGTACAAGTTTCGAGTACAGTGAACGTGTAGTGTGCCACTCGCAAAATGCACCAATAGGTCGTCTTGAACATGTATACATCAGCTGTGGCACTGACAAGTCACTTATAAGAATAAGATCACACACATTGTTTGGCTTCGATTCTTCACGTGAGGAACAATTTGCGCCACGTGAGGTAAGGTGTTTAACATTTTTCAATTTATTAAGTGTGATGCTCATATCTGATTATACATGTTTTTATTTTTATGAATTATACATGTTTTTACACTGATTGTATATCAACTCAAGAACTTGTTTTATTTTTTCACATCTGCACAAGCTATATCTGACAAACACACTAGCTTATTTATGAGATTGACCATTTTTATCAACTACCAAGAAAGGAAACCGTTGATTTTTCATTGTTTTTGGACTGCTGGTAGTCTGTCAGGCCTTAATTATTAAATAATATAGGGCATTAAGTCCATCCTTGTGCAGTAACACTTAACTTGATAAATATTTTAATTATATTTGCGTTTAAAATAAACAAATCAATTTTTTTTTCACTTTGACTTCATTCATTCTTCATTCAATGTAAAAACATTATTTCATTTGCCGTTGTCATGCCGTGTGTATCATAATTGCTGGCAATGAACTGATAGAACAGCATCACATTCAACTGCACAACGGGAACCATCTGAATCATCTAGTCCGTCCTCGTTGCAATCTGAAGTGAGTAATGTATTGCACCCAGAACAACAAAGCTCAGATCATACATCTAACTCATATCAACATACATACAACTAATTATTTAAAAGCACCACTAACACCAAATCAATGTTTTTTACCTGGTTGTAACAATTCCAATGGACTCACTGTTCCATCAGCATTACGAGTATGTCTCTTTTGTGATTACAATTACTATGTATGTGTGTTATACATGGTAGAGCCATGCTGCAGTTATATTAGAAGTAATAGTTGTAGCATGAATGGGTCGGCTTGACCGGGGAATTACCACGCTCTCACAGAATACCAGCGTGAAATAGTAGCTTAATGCTGCTGTGTTTTGTATGGTGGGTGTAGAGAACCGGAGACCCTTTTTACTGGAAACGAGAAAATGATCTTAGTCCTCACGGGTGACAACGCATCTGCATTTTGATTTGTAATAGAGGATAGATGTGGATGTCTAAGGGCCGCAGAAATGTCTCCAGCAGATGGTGAATCTCAGTTAATGACAAATATGCTAATAAATCCAGAGCCGTGACTATGTGTCGATATGAGTAGTAGAGGTGGTGAATGACATTTTTAAAACTGAATTTAAAATATTTCATCAAAATTACTTTTAGCGACGACAAAGTGAATTCGAACATTTAATCTTAATTGTTTCTTATCAGTGATTTAAAACTAAGTGTTAGCATTTAATCTTAATTGTTTCTTATCAGTAATTTAAAATTATGTGTTAGCATTTAATCTCAATTGTTTCTTATTCGTAATATAAAGCTAAGTGTAAAGACTGATAGTGCTGATAACAAGAAAGTAAATTAATTGCTTCAATTCTTATCTTAAAATAACGTATATGAATCTATTTAATTGTTTAGGTTTGATTAGAACATTAGAAGCAAAGTATGAGCTCATTTTCTTAGTAAACTTTCTTTTATCATAACTTTAAGAGCTATTAACCTATAAGTGATTTATATAATTCTTTTTTCTTTTAAAGTAATTATGTCAATTAATTACTTTTATAATATAATTTTTATTATAAGATAGATTTAAATTTCATAGAATATGAAAAGATATTGTATAGAATCTTAAGCATTATTATCGTGATAAGCGTTGTACATTCCTGCCTCTTGGCGGCGCTACTTGTATGTGGAGCGTTGAATGTCGTCTACAATGTCCTGTGGGACAATGCAGGTATCGGGCCTCGGGGTAACCCCCATTGCCCGGGTGTCCTCATATCCCATTACTATGGGACAGTCCTTTAGCCTATTTTAGGCTCGATAGCATACACGGGTTTTTTCCGTGGTGGCAGTAAATTGTTTTTCCGTAGTTATCCAACTACGGAAAAAGGTGGTTATTTGGTAAGTCTGAGTTGGCCTTTCTGCGGCATTGTGGGTTGTTACTCAACTCTCTAATCACATATAGAGAGGAGTTCTCTTGGAAGAGGTCGCCCGTCCGGTGGCCGGGTGTGTAACGGCGCAAAGCCGTTAAGGTGTTCGTGTGGCCAGTTATCGGCACGGTCAAACATGCCGCGCGATAACCGGGCCACGAAGTCGGTGATGTTCTCGATCTTCAAGTCGGCCGCTATCACGTCGTTCCGGACGTAGCGACCTGCTCCGACGATCGTCCTTAATGTCAGATTCTGCTGGGCCTGTAGTCGCCGCCTCAGAGGGTCGCTCAGAAGTGCGTACCAGGCCGGTGCAGCGTAGGTGATGATGGTCCGGATATACATCTTGTATATCCGGAGCTTGGTTCGTATGGGCAGCTTGGATGCCAGGACCGGCAAGAGCGTGCTCGCCCGCGCACATCGGGCCCGGCGGACGACGAAGTCGACGTGCGCGGTCATGCGCAGCGTCCTGTCGATCCTGCACCCAAGGTAGGTTACAGCCTTCTGGTACGCATTCTTCTGGCCGTTGAGGGTCAGCGGAGGTGGAAACTTCCTGAGACGGCGAGTGAGCAGAGCGGTCGTCTTACCAACGTTGACGACCATCCTCCACTCATCCAGCCATGGTGGCAGCAGGTCCGGCAGACGCTGCATCTTGGCAGTGGCTATGTGGGCTCTTCTGAACGAGGTGAAGTAGGCGCTATCGTCCGCGAATAGCGCCAGCTCAACGTCGTCCTCCCACTCTTGAAGCCTGCCTGCCAGTGTAGGTATATCATTGGTGTAAGCCGCGTACAGGACTGGAGACAAACAGCTGCCCTGTGGGACGCCGGCTTTGATGGTTCTCGTTGCGGATTCGGCGTCCTCTACGCAGACGTAGAACTTCCTGTCTTCCAGGAAAGACGCTATTAACCGCAATATAGCAAGAGGGACACTGGTCTGTTCTTTCAGCTTATATAATAATCCTGCGTGCCACACCCGGTCGAACGCCTTCTCGATATCGAGAAAGACGCCCAACGATATGCGGCCACGATTGTACTCTGCCGCAAGCAGGTGCAGCACTCTAGTCAGTTGTGTGACTGTGGAGTGACCCCTCCTGAATCCGTGCTGCTCCGCCCGAAGTTGGATGCACGGACGGAGACGTCTTAGCAGCAATC